GAAAACATGCAAAACAAGAGGCTGACTCAGGCCACTGCCACAGTCCTTGCTGGGAATGACAAACAGATTACCTTCCAAAAGGTTAAGGACAGATGGGACACCACAAAGGGCAAAAAAATCCCACACTTAGTGCTGCCAGCTGCAGCAGGAAGGATGGCCCCAACAGAAAGGACAAGCTCACCATGGTCCCTGCCCTGTCACTCTGCTCTCCTCTAGGGAATGGCAGATCCTGACATGCCTGTACAAGGACAAATCCCTGCTTCTGCCCGGCCAAGGCAGCTCATGGTGCCTGCCATGGCGCAAAGTGCTGCTAATCCGATCTCACACTTAAAACCAAAGCACAGGAGTGAGGAGAACACCTCATCTTCACCCTGTCCTGACTAAACGGAAAAGACTCTCTATTTCTACTCCACAGTAAAGTCCTGGGCTGTCACTAGAGGAGATACAGGACTTTGTGCTAACCCCTTAAACCAACTTCACCATCCACTAAGGCTGACCTGGCCCCTGACATGTCCAGTCTTGGCTCTTACAGGCAAGAGCCTTTGCTATTTCTTAGGCCAGCTCTTTGCTGTAGCACTTGGCCAAAACCCATTCCTCTTCCCCTCACAGCTCTTCAACACTCCCTTTTCCCTTGCAGCACTGCCACACAGTCCATGTGTCAACAGCTTTTATCCTGGAAGGATCCCAATGTATTCCCACAACAGCACTGCCTGAAAGGGGTTACTGGCAAGGGAGAAACTAGAAACTAGAAAAAGCTCTTAGAAGGGTGAAGCAACAAAAAAAGTGCAGAAAGCCAAGAAACAAGTTGCTGATTCAGCTTCAATCAGAAGGCTCTGGGGAGGTGTTGAGAAACTCCCCATCCCGTGGCTGCTGTGCCACAGCTGGGCTCCCGCCAGCACAGGCCCTTTCCATCCCACTGTTCCTCATGGCTGCAGGACGGGGCAGCTCAGTGGGCTTGCAGACCCCTAGCACCCACCCTGCTGAACCTACTGGGGGTGCTGGTGGGGGTGTGACTGTCCCACAGCACCCACACACTGCGTACAGAGCCCAGCTGATGGGAAGGAGCTCAAACCTCCTTCAGCTTCCCTGCCACACCACATCCCAAACTCTGAGTGCAAAGCAAACCAGGAGTGCTCTTTTACAGCCAGCAACTGCTCAGGACATCCTGACCTTAGGAATTCTCTCCACACCAAAAAGCATTGCTGCAGGTTGGGGATAGAAGTCAAGCATGATGCTTTAGTGAGCTGTACAGAAGTCAGCCTTCGTGAGAGTTGGGATAGGAGGGAGGATCCTCTAGAAAAGAGCAAAAAAACCCACTCTGGCAACAGCTAAAATTCATAGGCTCCAGTGAAGGGAAAAGAACCTGCTACAAGGAATTAATTAACATTGAAAGATTAATGAAATTTGTTTCTCTTACCTGCCCCTCCAGCCTTCTACTTTTAGGATGTAAATGCAAATTGTTAAGAGGACAGTCTTGCTTGAGCCCAAAGCCCCACTGGATTTCTGTGCTCAAGCAGAGCTGAGACAACAGCAGGGGACAGTGGGAGGGGAGTAGGATGCTGAGGCCAAAGGCTGATGACCAGCTGCTGGAGGTTAAGCAAAGAGCAGGAAAAAAAGCAGTGTTTAGTTTGAAAGAGGTTTTAAAGTTCAATCTGACAAGGGAAAGTTTGACCATCTAGCCCACACAAGTGCCAGATGCCTCCAGTTCCTGCCCACAGCAAATTAACTGCTTATCCCATGAGAAAAAACCCAAAACTTTCAGGAGTTCAAATAAAAATGTGGTGATCCAAGGCATCTTTAATTCTCATTTGAGTATCTTGTAGCTTGGCAAAATGTCTCCCCACCCTGTCACCTGGCCCCCATTTCCACATAGGCACAAGTTGGGAGAAGCCGCCCCACTTCACACGTCGCAGTTTCAAATAACATCTTAACCACACTCACCTGGAACAGGCTCCCCTGGGAAGTGGGCACAGCCCCAAACCTGCCAGAGCTCAAGCAGTGTTTGGAGTTTGGACAACACCCTCAGGCACATGGTGGGATTGTTGGGGTGCCCTGCGTAGGGTCAGGAGTTGGACTTGATGATCCTTGTGGGTCCCTTCCAGCTCAGGATATTCTGTGATTCTATGTCCTTTCACTTGTACAGCTGGAAAGCTGAGGATTAGCAGCAGCTCCCCCATCTCCAGTCCAGATCCACATGGCAGTGTTGGGAGCAGGACTGAGCAACACCATTTCCAGTGTGGGATGCAGCTGCTCTATAAATTCCACAGTGTTGCCTCCTGAACATCAAATTCCAGGAGCAGGCTGGCTCAGCAGGTGCTACACCTGCCCTGTTCCTGGCCTCCAGTAAGAGCCCAGGTTTTAATGCAAAATGCAGCTGCAAAATGGTTTGGGGGGAAGTAAAAGGCCTTACTATACCAGTATGGGATATAATTAAAAGGGACAGAGATTGTGGAAATAAATTAAAAGACACTGTAAAATGTCCTCCATGAGAAATGAAGGACCTGTGCACTGCACACCTTATTGCTCCAGGTGGCTGCTGGTTTAATTTTCTGAGGTACCTCACAGGTCCCAGGGTCTCCGGGGTGAATTAAGGATGCTCCACACCAAGGCAGACATCCAAGCACGGGTTTCCATTCACCCACTTCTCAGGGGTAGTTTAAAGCAGTAAAACCAAGAGCAAACACCTACTGTTTTGCACATGTCACAGAAGTGCCCAAGCCATCCCTTCCCAGAGGAGCAGAGTAAACCTATTTTTTGAGTGCAGCACGTAAATGGTAATTTGTTGCTGGTTCAGGTCCAAGCAACAGCCCATCACTCACACCTGAGCAGGGATATCCCTAAGGAAGCATCCAAGATGCCAGTGTGTTCATACAAGCCATTAGCTGCCCCGTCTGCTCCAGTGGAAGGGCTGTTCTCCAAAAGCTGCTGCTCCCAGACCCAAAGCAGGGACCAGAGGCTCAAACCCATCGAGCACCAAAGCCTGGCAGCCTGGGGCAAGGGAGATGAAGCATCAAGCCTTGGTTTTGGTCTCTCCCACACTTGTAGTCCAGAAGACAGGGAGTTGGAGTTCACAGTTATGGGGAAGGGGGTTACAGAAACAATTGAAGACATTCTATTTGGAAAGAAACAGCTTTTAAATACATCTGAGTGGTGAGCAGGAACACAAATTTCCTTAGTTCTGTTTGTGCTTTGGGTGCTCACTGTGGAGTTTTATGATGAGGCACAGTGCACTCAGAGAGTGTGATGGGATCAAAGAATCCCATGTTCTGGGCTCACCTTCTGCAGCTCCCTTCTAGCCTAGTACCCACACCTAAAGGGAAAAAAATTTTCCAGCAGGTACCATCCACTTGAACCCAGTTCCCCCTCTTTTCCACATAAAAAAAAAATCCCAGTTTCCCCAAATCTCTCTTGATGCAGAGCACCCACCACTCCCTTCCAAAGGGACCTGATGCTCCACAGCACTTCAGATCTTCGTTTCAAAAGCCGGAAGGCTCTGCCTGCCCTGCAATAGGAGAAGGAACAGTTTTTCAGCCAAGCAGCAGCCTTGGTTTGGCCAGTTTCAGATTTATAGCCAGATAATGACTTGTTAGAATCCACAAAAAGGACAGAAAGGAGAAGATTAAAAACCACAGAGTAGACTGTGGAGCAAACCTTCATCACTCTAAGGCAAGTCCCAAACCAGGCTCAACATCAGACGAATGCTGCTCCCTCCTTCTCTGAAGGCTTTGGTTTTTAGATATGTACTCTGAGCAATTAGCAAAACATTATTTTGAGTATCCTTTCTCATTCATCTCTGGTGAAGGAGTCACTTTGTTTACAGGTGGAGTCAGAAGAGAACAGACCAGACCAAGGAGAGACATGTGGCTCCTCTGCTGTTTGGCATCTCTTATGCTCCAGCTCAGCAGACAACAAACACACCTTGACCTGGAGAAAGCCTTAGAGGGATGATCTGACAGACCTACGCCTCACACCAAATCTAGAAGAATGCGCATTCACCCCAGACAGAAAACGAGAGATATTTCAAAGTGTTCTCCATTAATTTATCATTTAATATAAATGCTGACAGAAAAGCAGGTAAGACCTTGTCTATTTACAAACCAAATAGTGAATCATCACCTTTCCACCAGTTTTTGTTGAATCTGCAACACAAAGGACCCTTAGACACTATGTGAGAGCAAGGTGAGGTTGAGTCAACTTTAAGAGGCAGAAAAGCAAAGTGAAGACTGAAGAAATAACATTTCAACATATGGCTTTTTCTATATAACCACCATGCACATACACAGGTCTCCACTCCCTTGTCCTTTCGTACAAAGATGACAGGGTTGGCTCTATAAGTCTGAAGAGAAAATAAAGGAGACAAATACTGACTTTCAGATCTCTGGATCCTTTTGCCTCCTTCAATCCACTCTGTCCCACTTCAGCACAGTATCTAAAAGGCTTTTCTTTCAAGTTTAAAAAGCATATTGCAGGAGTAAAGACAGAGGGAGATTGATATAGAGAACTCTTTCTTCTACTCCTTTTGTCATCTCAGTTTTCACCAAAGGTAGCAAAGCATCCAACCTTTCCTGGAAAAGAGGCACCAACTCCCTGTGTGCCTCTGAACATCTCCCCCGTGACTAGGCCTGTATGTACAAGACTTCAAAATTCCCCTGAACTTGCAAAGAATTCAATTTATGGAATTCTTCTCATACATTCTACTTCATCTCTACTCCTATTAAGAATGTTTTGATAGTTACAGACAATAAATATCCACAATATCAACCCAGAGTCACCCATTCCCATAAAGGAGTGAGAATTTTTGTTGATGGGAAGGAAGAGCAGAAAAGGAAGAAAACAACAGAAAGAGAAGAAAAGCAAGAAAAACCCCAGTTCGAACAGAGACTGAATGAACATTTTGTTCAGCACTGATTCATGAGAACAGCAGACAGGGAATTTCACTTATCCAGGATCCTAAATAAATTCAAGAAATAGTTCATAACCTGACTCAACAAACCTCATGGTCTCCATTTTATTACCTAGACTATCCTTTATTTTATTTTTGTTAAATATACCTCTGCAGGGCACAATCACATACAATCAATACGATTGGAAAATTACATGAGCTCTATCCCAAGCATATACGCACCAATATTAAAAAGTTATTTAAAAAACAAACAAACCAAAAAATTAAAATAAAACTCCACCCAAAAAGGTGATAATGACTGCAGAATGTCTCGGGGAGACTTGTACGGAACTAATAAGATCGAAGAAAATTAGGCTTACAGAAACCAGGAAAAAAAAGATCATCTATAGAGAAATCCCACAACTGGAAGCAGATGATTTCAAAGAGGGTGTGGGAGCCGTTGTAGAGATCCCACAGTTCTTCCTCCCTCCTCTCACATGTGCCTTTTCTTACGTCTTCCTCCCCACAGCAGCAAATACAATGGGGAGAGAGCTCGACACTCCACTACCAGTTACAGGAAACAGGGAAGAACAGCCAAGCTACAGCACGGTTGCTAAGCCGACTGCAAGGAAAGCTCCTTTTAGCATGGAGGCTGCTTACACAGCAAGCAGAAGCCAAAGGGGGAATGGGAACTCCTTAAAATTAGGAAAAACCCTCAAAATCATTTGATTTGCCCAAGCTGAGCAGCTTCACCTGCGAGAGGCTGCGGGTGAACGGTCCCAATTGTGAGCTGGGCAGCAGCTGGGAGGTGAACGGGGCGGCTTCTCCTCCTCTCCCTCAGGTTGCTTCACACATTTTTAAAAGGCTGCTGCCAAGTTTCTTTTTAAAAAGCTACAAATAAAGAGGTCAGCACACACATCCAGTTGTGGGATCCATCCAATACACAGTCTGGTTTGGATGCCAAAGACTTGTGAGTACTGTCTGCCACAGAACTATAAATTAGGTATTTTTAACATTACAAAGAAGCAAATAATTTCTTAAACATCAAATATTCCACAAGATTTTCTTTTTCCTTTTTGCTTACAGATATATTTTCCCCATATATATTTCACATGTAATTCCACCATGTCTAATGCTTTTTATTTCCAGAGACACTGCAGCACCTGTTGCTTCCATCTCTCCCAACACTACATGTTTCAAATTGAAGTTGATAATTGTGTTTTCCTAGAGCTTTCAGATCTCAGAATCAGTTGTTTCCTGGCATATGAAAACATCGATATGGTATATCCAAAGAAAGCTGCCTTGCTGGATGTACCTTGTCACCTAAACCTTCCCAACTGCTGAACACTTGGCAATTGGCACTCAAATCATACACAAACTCACTGGAATTGCAAAGATTGTCTGGGAAAGATCAGTTAATTATCCATGTTACTAAGCTACAGGCACACAATTTTGAATATTATGGCCACATACTTTAAGCTTCAAATGACTGGGATGTTCCTATGCAGACAAATCCACATTGCTACATGCTTGTTTTTTTGGGAAATTTCAGGAAAAGCTGCAGCCTCTTTGCTTACCATTGTTCAAAGACTTCCCACGACATGATATCACACTTGCCATTAGGAAATTATATTACAAACAAAATAAGCATTAAGTTTGTTCTCCTTTCCCTGCTAATTAAGCTCTACTTGCATCACAAGAAGTGCCTTGGAGGCTGTGACAACACTAAGCAATTACATTCTTCTTCTTACAGAAGAATGAAGACCATATGTTAACTGTGTAAGGACACTGTACTGCAATAACATTCTCCAAAATTCCTTACTTCTACTGTGTAATTTGAACTAACTTACTCCAGCCTCTTTCATCCATTGGTATTCCCACAGAAAATAATGCAGTTGGTAACACTTGACTATGGAAAAGAGAACTCCCAATGATATTTTTGACATTTCAGTGTCTACTTGATGTGAGAGCAAATCAATTTGTGCTACAAAATAATCAGTATGTTGATTTACAAGTAACAACCACCCAGCTCTTGGCACCAAGGCTGTACCCAAAAGGTGGCTCAGAAGATCTGCTTCACTTCCCTCAGAAATTCAGTTTACATTACTCAAGGGAGGCAGATGTTTTTCCAATTCATGTCAACTCAACAACTTTTGCTTCCTGGGTTGTTTTTTTTTTCATCCAGGTAACTTGATATATTACGATACAAGAAATTAAGTTGCTGACACACTGAGGTTTTTTGGTTGTTTTTATATCAGCAACATTAGGAGGCAAAATGGAAGGCTGTGTTTTGGGAAGTGGATTATGACAGAACTTGAATCATGGCCTAGCACTGCTCTGTCTATCCTAGGACGACAAACACTTCCTCATACACACACAGACAAGCACAAAACTTGCACACTGCTTATATGTCTGGGTGTTTTCCCTATTTTAGAGCAAAGAAGGAAGCTGGCACTCCTGCCCTTGAGCCTCTGTCCTGGCCCTTTTTTAAGACAAGAATTTGCCCCACCTTACTCAGTTTGTGCTGTCAAGAGACAATATGACCATACAAGTTTGGTTCTTGTACATCTAATTTAATGTAATGTAAAGTCTGACAAGTCTTTCCAGTTCCAATGGGCTTAAAAGTCAGTCACGTTTGTAACACAGATTTATCTTTTAATGTAACTGAAGAGATTTTCCATCAGTATTCAATTTAGATTTAAACACTTAAAGACAAGGCTTCTTGGATTATGAGATTTCTATGTTCCTTCTCCCTCTCCAAATGAGCCATTCCATCAGCTGAGAGAGTGCATGAGAGACTGAAAGTACATCACAACACCCCAGATACATGTCAGTACATTGCAAATTGTATGACTCAATGGAATGATTTTCCACAATTGAATGCATGGGCAAGGCTTGACAATCATTAACTTCTGGAAATTGTTATTAGGATAATACAGTCAACTCACGATACCCTACAAACGCTTGACAATCAAAATGGCTACATCAGGGGGAAAAAAAAGTGTAAAGCACAAGTCTTTGGCTCTCCTTTAAAGAAAACAGCAGTCTATCATGTTTATACAGATCCCCCGTTTGCCTACCAGTAGGGGCAATATCACATTTGTGCATCACTGAGTAATAACACCATTAGAAAAGGCAACTTCACAGAAGTTATTGGCTAAGCGAATTCATTTGAATGCTCTGTTTTGAGGCAGCAAGCTGTCACTGTTACACAACCAGGGAGGGTGGATGGGCAAGCCACAGGAGGAAAGGAGGAAAAAAAAAAAAAAAGGGAGTGAAGGCTCAGAAAAAACAAGACAGAAAAGATCTTGAGAACGAAGGGGATAACTGTGCTGCAAGCTTGAAAGGTGCTCTGATCTAGTCCTACACTGAAATGGGACAGCAGGTAAGAGGGGCAGAAGAAACAGGTTAAATTTCTCCTATTAAGAAATCAGAACTAGGTCACAGGAAAGGAAGAAGAGATGTTGACAGGAAAAGGAAAGTAACACTACAGAATAAACAGACATTTCTACACTGACTGTATCACTGATGCACTGAAGCTCAACCTTCTGCTTGAAGCTTTCTATTTGGGGGGGTTTGTCCGTGCCGGGGCTGGAACCCAGGTATCAGCGAGGGTTAAGAGCTGTCTGGTGCAGTAGGAAATTCCATCTACCTACCAAAGGATGCAGCAGTGCCCTAACACCATGGTAATACTGCTCCTTCTTGCCCAGGTAGAAGGAACTAAAGCAATCCGTAGCCAAGACTGATTTCACAGAGGTGGGCAGCACTCCTGTACAAATGGGACAGTGATGGGCTATAGCAATGACCGTAGCAGGATAGAGTCGCTCCAGACATTTTGACTTTCAGCTTATTTGCTGTAACCATCAATGCTGCCAACTGCATGGAGAGCTCTCTGTTCTCTGAGTTCTCCCAGTTTTTCCACAAAAAGGGAACATTTCACGTGCAGTTTTCAGAAAAAGACTGAAAAGCATGCACTGCACTTTGCTGTTCAACTTGTTTTAATCAACTTAACTTCTGCAAAAAGAAAAAAAAAAAGGCAGAAAAAGGGGAAAAGGAGGAGGGGAAGAACCAAAGCTAAAAATCAATACTGTTAGTAGATATTAAACACACTATTTAACAAGCCAAACTATAATTCTGGGCAAACAGGGCATTCACCTGGACACACTGATCACAACAAGGACACTACACACGAAGTACAGCACGGACAGTTGGATGAAAGAGAAAAAAAAAACAACCCAAAACAGTAAGGTCTCTTTTCTAATCCCCAAGTTTTGGAAGCATTCACCATATGCAGGCCAGCAATCTGAGTAGTTCGTACTGCAGAATTACTCCCAGTAGAAAAAGTGGAGAAAGGAAAAATCCCTAATCTGGCAAGAGAACTAGTTAAATAAAAGGTAAAAAGGTTTTCGCCCTCCAGATTTTCTTCCTAGTGTTGCAAATGAATCTGTTGGGAGTCAAACCTATTGTAACCGTCTTTGAAAATTAATTTTACATCCACAATTACTGCAGTCAAAAAAGGAACATTCTGGGCTTGTCCTCCTAGTTTAGAATATTGCACTAAATATCTCGACTAAGGTGAGCTTCCTGTGTTAATATAGACACAGCAGGAAGGTATAAACTAATTAAAACCAAGGAGAAGGCTGACTTGAGGGTGGTGCTCTGCACTAAATGATGGGAGGAGAGGGCAGGCTGCCTGTGCCAGGTGACTTGGAAGCAGGCAGCCAGGGAAACACCTTCATCATCCTCCTGGCCAGAGCAGAGAAGGGAGGAACAGACTCATAACTGCATCCCCCCAGCCCTGCTGGTCTCCAGGGGAGCGGCTGGAATGCTTGGCCTCAAGCAGCAGGTACGGATGGGTGGGGACAAGCTGGAGGTGAAGCTGCTCTAGTGCAAAGATGGTTCTTTGCCCAAAGTTAGGAGGGGCTAGAAAACAAAGCAAGCCTCAAACTACTCTTGGCAATGCAGAGGCCAAAGTTCAACTAAGAGTGAAATAAACCCATGTGAAGACATATGGAGAGTGGGGGGTGTGAGCTGAAAAATGCCTTTATTTTCATTCAGTGCTTCTACCTCCCAGACATTTGATCACAACAGCTGCGCTCATGCGAAAAAATTCTTAAAACATACCCAATATATATACAGATATAACTATGTATATATGTATATATATATTTATATATAAATTTTTATTTAAATAAAAAAGAAAGCTCGAATCCCAAGCCAATATGTGTATCAAATCCTTGACCAGCCAGGTCTGTAGGGCATAATCAAATTCAATGTGAAATAGTATATAAACGCGGTGCCTTGACTGGGCAAATTAAATAATTGCTACTCAAAAGAGTCTTCTGTTTGGACTCTCCTACTGGTAGGCAATAGTGAGACTGTATCCCCTCCCACCCCCCCTTTTGTTTTATTTAACAGTATGATGAATGCAAAGCTTAGCCCAAGGTTGCTACGACCTCAGCAGGAGTTAAGGTTAAGGAAAAAAACTAAAACCCAAGAAAATTCAATAACTCTTGCTTTACCCAACCAAAGCAATGCAGTAATTTATTACATAACCAGTGCTTTCCCATTTAGTAGTCTAACCCAGAAAAAAAAAAAGAGAACACAGGCCAAGAAGGTGCAGAGGGAGCAGCACTTTAAAATCGTTCTCCAGGGTTCTTTGTATCCAGGGTCTCACCCTAGTGTATGTCAAAGGAGTCAAAAAACGTGCAGCAAGAATAAAATCTTTCATTTCTTTAATTTTTAAAGAAAACATCAAAAAAGGTTGATGGCTTCTCCAGCTTATACTTACAAAGCATCTACTTGGAAAAGCATTGGATCTGTCAAGCAAATTTGCTTCCCAGTACTTCTGGCAGGATTTGTGCTGCACCTCCAGTGGCCATTTTGATGCAATATTTTCCTTAGGAAAGGAGAATCCAGGAAGGATTCACTGCAGCACTGACAGACAAGCTGCAGGCTGACTCTCAGGTGCCAATTTCTAACATACAGACCTTAAACAATGCCACCTTTAAAAAACCAAACCACAACACCTGCTGAATTGCAAGGATTCTGTCACTTGTAGTTTAAATTCAACGATTTAAGTAAGAAGCTGGGGTTCAGCTCCTGGCCACAATGGGAAGAATGAAGTTTGCTGCACATCTTTTGACGCTGCAATTTCACAGCTACTCTCCAACCCTCATTCCTTGTTTACTCTTAAACCACACAAGGAAGCGGCCAGATTGTTTTAGTCATTGAGAAATTAAGGTGATAAGGAATTATGCACTGGGTATGTAATAATACCAAAATAAAAGAAAAAACCTACTTCATTAAGATCATACAATTAATCAAACAGAGTATATATATAATATCTTTTTTTTTAAGCCCTGGGATTCAAGGCGTCCAAAGTTATTAAAATAAAGTTCATTCACAGAACAAAAACAAATTTAATTTGAATTGCTTGCAGATACTGCTAATTTTCATTTTTTTAATTAAAAAATGCGTTAATGTGAACTATGTGCAGGATTTGTTTCTAGTAGTTGTGTTTGTGCACATTGCCTCTGGACCTGCTGCTCTGCTACTGCTGCTGCTCCTGGCTTTCTCCAATTACCCCTGGAAAAAAAACGTGATGGAAGGTGCTGCCACCCTGGCAGGAGGAGCTCGGGGTGTGCTGGCCTGGCTTCATGGAGCAGATGTGGGTGTGACTCCGGCTCGCTGGGAGTCGTGGCTGTCCCCTCCTCCCTCAGGCTCCTCTGACAAGCTCAGAGACGCCGCCTTGTTTGACAGGAGGCCAATGTTCTCTTGTGTCAAAGCCGACCCATTCGGAACATCACTGCTGGGGGAAGGTTGAGGAGAAAGGGGAAGTGGGTGAAAAGAAGTAATTACTGAGATTTTTCATTTATTTCAAGTAAAATTACTTCAATGAACACATTCCAGAATATTTAACTCACCTGGATAGTTTATCTTATGTTTGGGGGTTCTTTTAATGTAAAAACCATAAGTGGTTGTTCTGATTTCATTACTTTCAGAGTTCCATATGAAAAAACTAGTTCCTGCTCTGGAGGCTTCAATCTAATGGTGCAGTGCAGAACTCAAGAATGGGTTATAAGAAGAAAGTGCAAACTGCATCAGCAACTGAGGGACACGTTTTCTGAATAAATATCCAGATTCCAAACTGCTCACATCAAGTTATGTAAACGTAATGACATCTGAGCTTCTCTGTTCAATACTAGTCTGAATACGCACAGATGCTTGTGGCCATCTCAAAATACTTGCTGTGGACATTTCCAGCATTCCGAGCCAACATCTTATTCCAACTGTCTATTAAATGTGAACTGAAATTAATCCCAGCATCTCCACACAAAAGATAACTGCCTACAAATTAAACAGAACTTAGGTTCAAAGTCACGTACTTTCCTGGACAAATCCACATGACAAACCTTAGCAGGGTGGAATAACTTTCCTTTCACATTTGGGACAGCTATTTTCTTTGAAACCAATATAGCAGGTAGAGATTTCTTTTATGGTTGTTGTTTATCTCCTGCTCCTCCCTATTAATCATCCAATACTGTCGAGATGGACTCCTGGTCTGACAGACTTTGCAAGTCTTCTGTTACATTAATTTACCTAAGTCTCATTCCACTCACCTACTCATCAACTAAAGCAGTCCTTAATTCATGCTTGCACTATAAAAGCTTGATTTGTATCCTCTTTTCCTAGTAGATGCTTCCCCATCAGAGCTGATGTGAGGCAGGGGGAATTATTCACACAGGAGAGTGACCCTGGATGAAATTATTCTCCTCTTACAAAGACAGGTTGAAGGCCCATATTACCTGAATGTCAGTGCGAGGTCCTCAGTTGGAACCTTGCTTTGTGGCTCTAATTGTCCATTTTCTGTCTGTTTAGCGGTGCCCAGTTTGTTTTTCATATCCAATGAAGACTGGCTCTCCTTTAAAGAAAAGACAGATGAAAAATTCTTTAACAGTGTGTTAGAAGAATTGGAGACTTCATCCCTTAGGGCCGATGATGAAGGCCTGTCAGTTGGAGTCACGCAGTGTAACCCACAAAAGCCATGAGACAAAAACAGACTAAGATTTGCTCATCCTCTCAGGACACAGTATTTCCCAAAAGGAAGGGATGATCCTTGTAACAACAAGCGAAGGCCACAGACTGTAACAGCACACAGACTTCTGAACACTAGCCTGTACCTGCAGACGATGTTTCCTATGTTAAGGCAGATTATGGGACTCATGGCACACTGACCTTGGAGACTGTTTAGTTTCCAACAAATTTCAGCGCCACGCTTATTTCAAATGGCAACAAGGTAACAGCATTTTCAAGTGGCTAGAATTAAAATTCTTCATGAAGAAGACTGGAGAAACTTCTGAGGAGGTTTTGAAGAATAAAGAGGTGAAGAGGGAGATGGATGACTCCAGTTGTGGGCATCCAGCCTTTCTGCCAGGGTTACAGGGCTCTTCACCTCTCTGACTCCCACCCCCCCAGCACTCACCATGCTCAGCTCACGGGTTCTCTTCCCAATTTCCCTTTCCACCTGGTGTAGCTCCAAGCTCAGCTGTTCACTTGAGATCATCCCAGGCCACTTGGGAGGCGGGGGTGGGGGCTGTGGTTGGCCTGCCAGGGTAGTCGCCTCCCTCTGCAACAGCAGCCTGTTACTAACAGCCTAAATGCATAAAGCCAAGCACACACACAACTGAGCACAGACACCGGGCACGGGGGAGCTCTAAGGCCATAATGCCACAGTATTGCTCGTTTGCAAAACCAACTTCTCTCTCCACACCTCACAATGTCCCAACTGAAACCACTTCCAAGGCAAGTTGCAACAGGTCTATTCACAAAGACCTTTAAACAAGCAGGGTTAAATACCTTTTACTGCCATAAATTTGCATGTGCTTTCCTCACATACCACTCCCTTCTCAAAACTAAGATTACGACCCTGAACAAAACCTCTTTTGTGAGCTATTGCTGGACAACATGTAACTGCAGGTAAGCCAATCTAGTGCTTTATTTTACAGCAGAATTTATCAAGTTCTATAGGAGAGCCAGAATTATGACCATATCATATAAAACATCCTGAGACATGTAGATGTCCATATGCAGCTCTCTACTGTCCCATATTAGCAGACAGAGGAACAGAGAGAAGCAAGTGGCTGCAGCCATTCACAGATCGCAAGTTACTCAAAGCAGTAGCCATGTCAGCCACTCCAAAAATCTGCTAATAACTTGGGAACCAGTTCTGCAATTGTGTGCTCTGCATTTAAACACAACATCTAGTAGTGCACACAACCCAACATGTGGCTGGTCTTCAAGTAGAAATGCTCATTCATTTGGGAAGAAAGCAGAATGATCTAGTTCTTCATGCTCTGAGTGAATTAAGTGATTGTTGCAACCTTGTAGAGGTAAATCAATGAAGCCTCCTGGATTTCTAATACCTACTTGCAGCTTTGAACGCAAGAGATAAACTGAGAGCTGTTGTTACTCAAAATAACTGAGTAGTTCTGCCAACTTCAAATGAATAGTAAAATCAAGGCTCAACACTCAACTCTGTAGGATTTAACACTGAGACAATCCCAACAATGATGAGCAGGAGAGGAAGGCCACTCATGGGTTTTGCAACTTTCCAATACTCTTCTATTATGGCAAAGGCAAACATGGAAGATTTAAAATATTTTCTTCTCTTATTTCCAAACAAGAGCACAAGAACACAAGTTATGTTTCCAGTAACTAAGCACTGCATATCACTGCAACTGCTCCTGTAATTTAATTGTGAGCTCTGACACCTAATCTGCAGTAACCCTTCTCTAACATGTGTTCTTAGGTAACCATTGCTTCAGTAGAAGCTGCTATCCACTACTTACAGCAATTCCTTCAGTGAAAACATTAACATGAATAGTTGCTGAAGTACCTAGAACAGTTTTCTGATAAATATTTACTGATTTTTCCTAGGAGGAAGACAGTAACTTAAACTTTGCTAAAACAATTCTTTCATTATGCCCTGACACTTCTCCTTCTGTGTCTCACAAAACAGAAAGACTTCAGCTCATTAATTCTTTTAAAAATGAAAGTGAGGAGACATAGACTTTTAAGCTTTAATTTTTCAAGCTAAATGTATTTCATATTTACTTTCTTGACTCTTGTGGTCTGTGCTATTTAGGAAGAAATGGGTACAAACACAAAGCCAAACATGAAACAGAGGAAGGTCATGGCCTTCTGTACAAAAAAATCAGACATTTCCCATGGCAGTAAAGCCAGGAGGAATAGGCATCTACACCGTGACTTTGCTTCTGAGTAGAGAGATGAACAGAGAGGGAGTGAGAGAATGACAGCAAACACGACTGAGCAGAGTGCACAGTCAAGCATGGTGTTGATTTGCACATGAAGGTTCTGCTGCCAAGCAGAGGCTGACACCTGTACCATAGTCCTGATGCCTGGCATAACGAAATTAAGTGTTTTTTACTGAGTATCGTGACAGTCAGAGAAAGATCAGCCTGTGAAAAGCAGCTTTACCAGCTTCATCTCTCTCCACAGCACCCCTCACCGTTGTTCCAAGGGCTGGTACCAACCTCCAGTCCCCGCAGTTGTGTCTGCTGGCTGATCTGATGGTCCACCTGCTGCAGCTCCATGCGCAGCTGCTGCTCTCGCTCGGCTGAGGGCAACTGCTTCCCGTGACCAGCCACATCCGACATGGACAGCCTCTCCCTTTGGGATCAGAAAAGAAAAAAAAATAAGGAAATTTCTAGAAAAGAAAAAAAGAAGGAGATTTCTAAAAAAGAAAAGAAAAAAAGCTTTACTCAGCTGGTGCAGAAAAAAATAAAGAAAATTTAGAAAAAGGCAAAGAAAAAAGTAGAGCGATCCTACCTGTCATTGAAACGTCCCTGAGAAGGTATATTTTGATGAGGAGAATATGGAGAGCCTCCCCAGCCACCATGAGTTCCATAAGGACTGTAGTCTGCCAGTGAACAGAAAGAAAACCAGGTTGCATTACTACAAAACTATCCTTCCAGTAGTTCAGCCAACATAGAACCGGACAGACAGAACAACAAGAAAGGCCAATCCTCTAAGAGTGAGAAGTCTAACATTTTTTCTGATTAAATGAACACAGAAATACTCCACGTGACTGGTCTCATGAGCCCAAAACACTGTGACAGCCCTCCAGAGTATGAAACTGAAGGACTTCAGGGAGGTGGGGGACACAAAACCAAACTTACAGCCACTATAAGAGCAGTTATTTTTACTATTTCAGTTCCTAAAAGACTCAAGAGTTGACTGATAATTCTGACGTACCTACTTAAATACAGTTTGAAGATTAAGCTTTCAGGGAAGTCAGAGTTCTACCTGTAATAAAGTCTAGAAAGTTACTACCTGAAAAATCTAGAAGGAAGTTTGAGAGAATATTTCTTAAGGTTATTTAGTGCACCTCAAGAAAGAGACCATCTTTGAGAGTCTGACAGACAGCAACACTATACATACTATTAGAAAATAGGTGTGTTAAAAATGAACTATTCTTACTTTTTTGCTTTGCCTAACAGCACACAAGGCAATGGCTGCATTAAGCTTGCAGGAGCTGCTACTCATAAAGCAGGAGAGCAGCAGTACAGTACTTCATCATGATGTTTTCCCATCATGTATTTAGGAAAGCCCTAAGCTTCTGGATTCTACCGCAACAGATTTAAAATAAGCCTCACCTCAGATGGACCAGCAGAACAAAGTAACTTTGTCCAAACACCAACAACAAATCACTAAGACATACACTGCATGTGCACAAACCTGTCACAGAATCACTGAATAACCTTAGTTGGAAGGGATACCCCCAGGGATCCAACTCCTGGTCCTGCACAGACACCCCAACAATCCCCTCCATCCCTGAGAGCATTGTCCAAATGCTCCTGGAGCTCTGGCAGCCTTGGTGCTGTGCCCACTGCCCTGGGGAGGCTGGTCAGTACCTGACCACCCTCTGGGGGAAGAACCTCTTCCTCAAACCCAACTTGAGCCCCCTCCTGACACAGCTCCAGCCTTTCCTGTCACTGGTCACCACAGAGAAGAATCAGTGCCTGCCTTTTGGCTTCCCTCTGTGATTAACCTGTTTACTGCAATGAGGTCTCCATCAGTCTTCTTCTCCAGGCTGAACAGACCAAGTGACCTCAGAAAGCAGTGGCAGCCTTTTTCTTCAGGCTTCTCAGTGTAACCCTCCCTGGAGTTATTTTTAGTAGCATGACACACACCTCAGCTATACTTCTAAGGCAAGAGACAAGTTTAGAGGGCTTGCCTTCAACTGTTGCACTACGGAAAACAGCAACAGCCAGCAAAATGCAAGAGCATAGGCCGTACCTGAAATGATGGACTTGGTGGCAGCTCCCTGAACCGCCATGGCCTGCATGGGCCCGGAGTTCTGGTACATGGCTTTGGAAGTGCGGGAGATGGCCCCAAAGCGCGACACAGTCGGTCGGTCTCCAAAGGGAATGAGATCGTCGTCACCAGCCTCGGCCGCCCGGCGCTGCAGGTCCAGCCGCTGCTCACGCATGGCTTTGCTGTCCACGTTCTGCACGAGACACGGAAAAGGCACTCCAGGACCCACTTGGGGATTAACAGAACCACATGTTGGCAGCAGGAGAGTAACTCTTGTATTCTCTAGTCACTTGAGCTTTCAGCCAGTCTTCCTGCCCTTTAGTTTCTAACTCCGCTGTTAGAGGGATGTCTTTTTAAGGGTCTGACTCAACATGACCATTTACTACACCCCTGGGAAGTGGTTGCATAATGAATTGTGAATAAATCCAGCAGCAGAGAGCAGCAGCAAATGAAAATGAAGATAGACAAAGTTTAATGGGAACAGATGGGGGGAAAAGACCTCCTCCTTAAATAAAGTCAAAGATGACATCAGTGGGCCTCTCTGAGGATTATATGTTCCTTCTAGAGTTCAAAAGAAATTTCTCTGAAGCCCACTGTTAAGAACTGTATCACTAACAGCCTGCAAATGACTCAAAATGGGAATTTTTCAGTACAGCACTTACTTGGACATGTCTAATACATCTTTTCAGGCACATTTTTCATTAAGGACCAATACTGCTTGGAACATCCTGGTTTCTAACTCATCATGGCTGGGCTTTGCAAACGAAGATTTGGGGAGGGCTCTACCCACATTTGCTACAAGCGTGCTGGTGGCTAAAAAGGCCAATGCGAGATAGACAAGTCTGGTTGCAAAAGGCACAGCAGAAAGACTCCTTAGGTGGTAGGTTTCTAACTAAGCTTCATGTTTAAACACCATAAGGGGTCAGCATATGAAGAGATAAAATGCCCTCTCTCTCTCTCTCTCTCTCTCTCCTGAGGCAGGTGAAAACAGCAGTAAAAACTCAGTTGGAAGTTAGAAAGTCAAGAAATGTAACACCTGGAAACTAGAAGAGGCATGAGGCAGCAGTACTTTACCATGTATTTTTTTCCCCAGAATTCCAATCTTGATGCTATAGGATGCTAGCACCAATTTTAATTTATTTCTATTTACTGAGTAAAGTTGCAATGCCATCGGCATAATATTCATCATTATGCACTCTCAGATGACGCTATTCCCCTCCATGAAAAAAGGAATCTCTTGTGAACAATAAAAAAGGCAGAATTAATTCACTGAAGAATTAATTCAGTAAAGGTTTCCTGAGCATTTTTTCCTGTGAGGAGACAAAAACTGAAGAGCAGTGGAGATCCTATTGCCTATTTGAAAATTAGCTCTGGGGCAGAAGGCTTTGTTTAGCCATGAAAAAGGAGGCTGCTTCTCCAGAACCCTACTACTTTTCTTAATTCTTAATTGAGCTACAGTTTGTTTGCACAGTTGTCTAGCAGCAGGGATGAAAGCCAAGAGCTGTTTGTTGATTCCTGAATGGTGCCACTTGGACACAATAATCTGATTCCAAGTAATCTCAGTCCTTCCCCAGGTCAAATGTGACAGTGTTGTAACTCCAAGCAACCACTCTGTGCAGGACTGGGAGCAAGAGCACAGGTAAAAAGGCCAAAGCTGCAGACGAAATGCCTTTTTCTGTGAAAAAGCCTCCTTTTTGCTCCCATTTCACACAGCATCGTCGAGATTTTACAGGAAAGCAATTCACTGGACAGAAATCAGACATATTAATTCCAACAGGGTAGAGGGGAAAAGGGGAGCTTATTTGAGAAGCTGGGCCAAAAAATCCTATTATTTGGTTAAGAGTTTGCAACAGATGAGCACCTGTCCACAGAAGAATAAATTCTGGACAGAAATCTTTCCCCCCTCCCTTATTGGCCAAAGAAAAGTCACTGTGACAGTGACAATATATAAATGATGATAAATCACTTTTGCAGATGAGAGGTGATGGAGAACAGATGCACCTCTGTAAAACAGTCCCTCAGGCTAAATGGTTCTTTCTCTGGAAGACTTGAATGTCTTCATACTTGCATGGGCTACCAAGCCTATTTCTTGTGTTGAGTGCTGCTTGAATGTTAGGAATGAACCAAATAGTGGTGGTATTTCACACTCCTATTTCTTTTCTTCTCCATTCATGACTCGCAACAATGACACCCTAGCAGCCCCTTTCTTTTGCATCACTGACCCAGCAAAAATAGAGCATCACAAAACAAGATCACAGCCTGACACCCACGGTTCAGTGAAGGGCTGAATAAGCACAACACAGAGCTAGAAACTGCCCTCAAGAAAAAACAGCCTAGTACTATGTTATAATTGTGCTTCTCTCAACAGCTTCATGAAAGTTTTGGGTACTCTCATGGCCATCAGAGAGTCCCACACGTAAAAACTAAAAACATCTTACCAGTAACTAACAGAACAAAGTTAAATTCCAGCATCTCCCTCTGACAGAAAGAAGTACAAGAAGCTACAGATGGCCATGCTTAATTAACAAGCTGCTTGGACAGAGTAATTTTGGGATTTCAGTTAAGTGTAAAGAATCATGGCAAAATATCCTTGTTCTTCATGCCTTCAGAGCAGAGTGGTTATCCTGCATCTAGATGCAGAATTTGGTAACAGCCACACCAGGGTAGGACTGCTGATAACTTTGAATACAAAGGACTCTGCACACCTGCAAATGCTTTCTGTGACTGCAATGCATTTTTGAGCTCTAATACAAGCCCTAGAAAAGCAAATGAAAGTCCTTCCCAACCCACAGAAGTATCCACTTTTCTTCTGTTTTCCCCTAATCCCCATGTACCGCCATGTCCACACTCCTCGCCGCCACGACATCTTTGGGTTTTGCATCTTTGGTTCCAATGTAGGAGCCGATGGTGTCACAGGACCAGGGGGAGTATTGGCTGTAGTCATTTCCTTTGTATTTCCCAGCTACCTTCAGGTCTTCATCCAAGTACTGTACAAAAACAAAAACCTGGTTCTGTAAGTGAAGGGAAGAAGCAGCTTCATAGCCACCCCCCTTACTTCAACAGCAGTAAACTTGAGAAACACCACCAGGATTATTTTTTTATCAGATACATCACCATTTGGAATTGGGCCATGGCAGGCATGAAGTGCATGAAATTCTGATCACCTGGCCACGCTCCCAGTGCTGACTGTTCACTTGGCCAGTATGAAAGTGGTATTTTGACCTTGGTTAAAAAAATAAGTCTCTATCAAGCTGTTACTTAATTCTAAGAATGTCAGGAGCAAATGAAGTAAAGTCCAGTAACTGTGAAGACTACTTCAATTAATAACAGCTCAAAACTTATTTTCTTGGTTGCACCAAGAGCAGATAGCTTAGAATCAGTGGTAGATCAGAGAATCAACAGCCAGTTGAGATACTGGAGACTGCACTGCAAGGGCTTCCCACCTGGAGCACAAAATCCACAATCCACTCACACACTTGTGATGTACTGTTTTGATTTTCTTATTACCTTCACCTGTCAGCACACAAAAACTCCAAAGTGTTTTCTAAACATGCTAGCACATTACGTTTTTGTCAAAATATGCTTACCTCCTCTGAGTGAAAAGGATGAGGCAAGGTTGGCGACGGTGCAAAAGGAGGTGGAGAAATCACCTTCCTCTCCTCCAGCTGGGCCATGATCTCTTTCCTTCGTCGGTGAAGTTCATCCAGGCTGGGATGAGGCTGAAATGAAGACAGAAATATGTTACGGAGCTCCTGAAGCATTATTGCACAAAACTAGTAATTTCCTAAGTGTTGTTTATCCAAACAAAACATGGCAGCCTTATCCTACAAGAAAGGGAAATATAGAGGACAGACAGAATCATTACAATAACAAATAATGATCACTTTGTTAAAGTCTTCCTGCTACCTGTCATGTTTGATAGAGGACATAAATGTTCCTACACTGGTCAGTGTTAGTTCAAGACGCCTCAAAGACAAGGCATGCATCCCATCCTGGCAAAGTTTCCACTGGAACATGTTCCAGCATGTCAAGTCCCCATTTCAGTCATGTGGGGGAAAGTGGGAGAACTCTACAGATCATAACCTCGTCATATTAGTTATTCATTTTGCATTAAACATCCCACAAACATGTCAAACTCAAAACTGGTAAGTCTATAAGCTATGTTAAAAATGCTTCCTGGACTCAGCAACAGGATTCAAGGCCTTTAATCTGAATTACAGATGATGTAAATCCAACTAATTCTGCAGGACTTGACTCCAGCTGCTGCCTTCCCAGAACATGTTTGCTAACTGAAGGGTCTTCTTCGGAGAACTGTGCAATCTTAGAGAAAACCTGGCAGAGTGGAATTTTCAATTCCTTTATCATGAAATGTATGTTTAATATTTCTTATTTAAGCACAGAGCTGGGCAGTACAAGAATGCAGAAATGACCATTTCCACAAACTGCATTTAATCTGCAGAGGAGTGCAGATTAAACTCCAGCCTAATCTTTGCTGGAGAAACCAGGGCTGTATGAGACAATTACAATGCTTTTTACCAATGCTTTTCTACTTTGAGCACTAAATAGCAACCTGCTGCTCTTCTACATATTAACATCATTACAACTGCAGAGTTGACCAGTAACTAAATTGCCTTCCAGGTTTCAAGTGGAAACCTCTATTTCCTCACAAAGCCCTCACCGCAATAACATTCAACTTGGAGCAGCAGGAGAGAAAGGACGAACAAATACAAAACGGCAGCACAAACCCTGTGGCACGAAGGCCTGATCTGGCCGAGGTGCGGAGCCACCGGGCAATATGCCTCTGCTTGCTGGTATCTGTCTCTGGCCTCGGGCACGTAGGGGGTGACGGCGGCAGGTGGGATGTCGATGGGCACGGGGCTGCCCCGCACCACGTCCTCGCGCTGGTAGGGTGGCACCGGGGGGTACACACGGCGGCTGTCATAGTGCGGGGGGTACAGGGGCTGTGCCAGCGGCGGGTACTGCTGTGGCTGCGGGTACTGCGGGCTCACCACGCGCTCCGGCAGGTACGGCGCGTACGGTTCCAGGTACGGGGTGCCCGCCTCGGCGGCCGAGGGAGGCGGCCGGACAAAGCGGGACATGGACTGCGTGGGGTAGTACACTCCTGAGGGGAGGAGACAAGCAGGACAAACAGGAGAAAGACATTAGCACCGTTGGCCACAAATCGCCCCAAGTACTCCGGTGTGCAAGAATCATGAAGAGAACGGTAAAAAATGGTCAAAAAAAAAAATGGTCTAACTGGTATTTCTATTCAAGAATTAACTACAGAAACCCTGAAGCAGCAGAAGTCAATCCAATTATTTAAAGTTCAATTATCTAAATAAGATACCAGAAAGGCATCAATGTTACAGTAGCTGGAGAAGGGGTGGTGAGACTGAGCCCACCACAGGTGCCAGTGGTCCTGTCAGTACACCACATAGAGATAATTCACCAGACTGCTGTGAATGCTTTCAGCTAAACAAAACCTAAAAAGTAAACTGAAGATTAGCCTGTACATCTTCATTCATGCAACTAAAATTCAATTTGTTCCAATATATCAGAGCCACTACTTGTGTAAAGGAAATCAGATTATTAGAATCTGAAGTTATCTAAAGATTTCTTCTACCTCTTGAACAGCAGAAAAAAATTTCGGAATTGTGAATAACCAAAGACTTTAAGATCACACCTCCTGGTTACCTGAACATTTTAATATTCTATCTGGGATCTCTGGATAATTTAAAAATAAGCATAAATATGTGCATAACATTAAATTTTGTAGACAACTCAGATGTTCAGTGGCACATAATGATCAAGTGTTGTTTGTTTTTCTTCAGAATGCTCTGCAACTTTCTCAAAAATGGGTTCGCTCTCCCCTTTCCTTTCTAGGACTTTTTCTTCTTCCAACTTTCTTTGGTCTTCCATTCCTTACTTTCCTTTCATATTAACTTCACTTTAGCTCATTTCTCTCTGCATTCTTACACTGCCCAAGAATCATTCCCTGTCTTTATATATAGCCATATCTTTTATTTTTAATCCCCTTCAATATTACCTTTCTCCACTTGGTCTCTTTATACTTAGGAGTTTTTCCTCTTAGTTCCTTTTTTTATCTGCTTTCTTTTTTGTGAACACCCTTCTCTAATTTCACTTGTCTCTACCCATCACATGCACTTTATTTCCATTTTCCCTGATTCAGACTGAATTAAGGTTTACCATACTGGATCCTTGATCTAGCCCAGTTGGGAAGAACTGAATACAGAAGGATTTGCTACGCTGAATGGATACAAGTATCTGTTTTTATTTGCGTTGAAGTCCTCAGTCAAGACATAAAATCCTGCCAATTTCCCTTTTATGATGCCATCACCACATTAGTGTCTTTACTTCATGTCATAGGCAAGAAAACTTCAATTTAAGAGCTTAAAAAACAGAGTGGGAAGAAAGATCAAAATCAGCATGACGATGAAAGAGCTTGGTGCCAACCTTACCTTGTTGGTAGGGCGCTGGCTCAAATGGTGGGGCAGCTCCTCTAGGGTCTTGGTAAAACATATCTGCTTGTTGAGCATTGTACAACTGAGACCCTCGTGGTACCATCTGCAACTGCTTGGTGACAGACACTGAGGGCAGATCTGCTGGGGCCCGGGAGGGCACAGGATGAGGGTTCACTGGTAAGGCAGAAATAGAGCTCTTGGGGACAGATTCCAGCCTGAAAAGCAGAAAGATGGCTCTGCTTATTAAGGCCTAGTACAGTACACTGCATTCTCACACACTGTTCTTCCTCTACACCCCACCTTCTGAAGGCTTATATCACCTTCTCCAATTAAAGTGTAAGTAAACAGTTTAAAGTTAAAAATTTTAGCTATAGTTTTCTACTCCACTCTTTAATCACTAAAAAAACCCCCCAAAACAACAAAAACCCAAACCACAAAAACAACCACAACCCTGATTTCACTTCTTTTCTAGAGAATGGGTTTCCTTAGTTTCTACTCCACAGGTACACACAACATTTGGAACAAGAGGTAGGAAGACCCGTACAAGTCAGGAGGGGATCCAGGGGCACTGCTACTCAGATGGTCCATCTTCCCGGGCTTCAGAGCGGTTTCATAACCTGAGTCAGTCCCTCGAGAGATGAGCTGTGTCACCGTGCTGCCTGTTGACACAATTCCATTTGGCAGGGCAGAGGTTTTCCTATTGGGCAAGTCCACTCCCCCCTCCTCTGAGAGGATAGCTCCTGAAGGCAGGCCCACCTCGTTCAGCTGGCCCAGCGAGGCACTCAGGGGTCTTCTGGGAACCAGACGTTTGTTCATTTTACGGAATCTTCAGAAAGAGAAACCGCACATCAGAAATTGAAACAGAAAAAAGTAAAAGGAGCTGCACTTTCAGGAGTTTTCAAACACAGATTCTGTTGAAAGCTTCAAGTTTTAATTCAAGTTTCCAAGGGGTTTGGGAGAATATCTTTTAGAATACAACTTGCCTGATAGTTGAGCTCTTTAACAGCAGTTTCAATCAGAACAAGGATGGATTTTGAATGAGAAGTACATCAAGAAATCACAGCTAAACTTCACACAGTAAGTTTAAAATCTTACTGTCAACATACACATTTCAACTGTACAGAAGAAAACCAAACATCACATAAAATACAGTAACAGAAGCTTCAGAGTATGAATCACAGAATGTTCAAATCTCTTTTATTCAGAGAAGAAACTAACAGCAGAAAATCAAAGTGACAAAAGATGAAGATATCCTTTTCCACCATGTGTCCAATGATAAGCCAAGTGTTTACTGCCACGTGGTATCTTTTAAAGCACAGTTTAAGATTTATGTTACTATATCAACATACAGTTTACACTGTGTATCAAGTGTATCACTTGATAAAGTAATTGAAGAGATAAAACCACTGCAATTCCAAAAATTTAACTGCTTCTGAGTAAAGTCTGAAAAACATAGGCATTTTAACTAAACCAGCAGGTTGGCAGTACTAGAGAGCAAATTCCAGAGTTGAAGGTCCTCCACCAAACCCCTGCCATCAGCTCAGATCCCAGAACCAAGTGTGAGGGTGGATTTGCAGACCTGGGTGTTCTCACCAAACAAGACACCATTTCCTCACCCGGACTGAAGCCAACACTTTATTGTCATATCTAACAGCCAGAGTGAGATGGGAACCCAGGCTAAGAAGGTACACACATTACTGTGGAAAAAGAGGACACTCATTACTCAATCTTTTCATAATCTTTCTATTTGCCCACACGCACAACATTAAGGGCAATGCAACAGAGGCAAAAAGGGGGTTTATTGCCAGGCTTGTTTTGGTTTTGTTTCGATGTGACAACATAGAGAGCCAGACAAAGTGTAATCTTGCTATACACATTTGGGCTGTTCACCTGTAAGAGTTCATTGAGTATCTTCCAGTCACCTTCCTAACTCTCCCAATTTCTGGGTGGATTAATCTTTACCCACATACTTAAACTATGAATTTGAGCTGCAGTGTGTTGACAGTGGGCATCATTCAGAAGGCATTAAAGGGAGTACAGAGACCAGGCTGTCACCTGAGCAGGGACAGACTATAGTCTTCTAAACAATTAATCTAAAAGTTCAATACTTGCCTATGCACACTGGGTCTTTGTCCCTTGTACCAAGAGGGTAATAAGCTGCTGTTTAAGCAAGTCTAAATCATAATCTGCTATCTAAGGCATTACCACACACTTCCTCATAACCTTCCTCCAAACTTAAATCTATATGTAGAGATACAGGAACCACACAGCAACAGCAAGGCTTATTATTCACACTAAGCATTTTTAAAAGGAGGAGCACTGACACATTAAAGGATTTAAGCAAAGATAAAAGCACAAGAAAGAGTCAGAACTCCCAAGTTCCACGACCACCTACAGAAACTACTGGAACCTGAAAGAGAGTAAACATTCACTTTGGCCCATGACAGACAACATCAATACCAAGGCATACAAGTCAGTCTGGGGCTACAATAGGCCTCTCCCACCTGCCAGCTGTTTAGTCCTTGATACACACAACCAGCTCTGTGGTGTAACACTGACCCACCACCCAGCACAGGTTAACAGAACCACCCCAGTCAGCACTACCAACCTCCATTTTAATAACATAGTGGCAAAAGGCAAAACACCCCAACTGTTTCTGCAGCACACAAAGTCCTATTCTTTGTTCACTTGAATAACTGTCTTTGTCATTCTAACAGCACAGGCTCTGCTCTTTTTCCCTTCGTGTTTTGCCTATGCACTGCGTGCTGGCTACAGAGCCAGTGAACTGCCATATGAATGCTTCAAGGTTAGATTAAAAAAATGAAACACTGCATACTAATTACTTAAAATAAATTAAAACAACCTGCAGAACAACAGCACCTTGCCCTTGGATAACTCGGGGCCCCCTTTGAATCTGTAACGGATGTAGATTATTTGCTGCAGACTTCATATCACCATTATTTTTTAACTTTACATCAACAGATTTAACCAACTGAAGGTTACAGCACAAAACTTTCTGACAGATTGCACAAATAACTGCTGCAGGAAAAAAATCTTGGAAAGTTCATTTTTAGCTCTCTGGAGAGCCAGCAACACATTCCCTACATTTGGAAAACTGCCAGCAACCCACCTGAATACGAAGGGAAGATGAGAAGTACCCCCAAATAATGACCACTGTGGATGCAGGTTTAGTCACACTTTAAAAATAAGGAAAACGGTCAACCCTCAAAACCCTCAAACACACTTGTATAACATCAAACTTCTGGAGCTACATTACTGCTGAACAAAGCCAAATATCCTGTTTGGAAGTACAAGCAGCCCCAAAACCTAAGACAGACTGTCACAGGTTTTTCACATTATTTCTTCTAGTGTATCAGCCAGGTTGCACCTCCTCTCCTCATTTCTAGATAGGATAAATAACTCTTACAGGTAAGATGAAGCAAAGATTGGACTGGTTTCTACTAGCAGAGGTACACTTACTTTTCCAGCTCCTCCTGGGAGTGTGCAAAGGTGCAGCTGGCCCCCCGGGGACATCCTCCTCTCTGCTTCATGTCTCGGCACATGTATGTCTTGTACTTGCTGTGCTGAGGGGGCTGACAAGGGTAAAGAAACCAGGTGAGACATCTCAACTTCAAAGTGCACTTCAACAAGAGCTGAGGGTATCCTCTTAACCAAGGCCTGTTGATAATTCCTTCAATTTACATGTTTCAGGAGCACCCATTTATTATGGGAAATAAATGACTGGTGCAGATGTTTGGTTCTTCCAGGGAACCAAGAGACTCAAGAGTAGATGTTTTGACAACTAAGTCGCTATCAGGTTTCTGCAACATTTTAATTCAAATTCTTTACTGGAGGCTCTAACTGGAACACAGCTACACGTTTCAGGACACAGTTAAGTGGACAAAACTGATCTAGGATGAAAAAATTACCATGATAATCAGAAATTACCAAATATTTATCAAGTTATGTGGTAGATTGAAAATAAATGCAATTTAGTTGCTTCTTCTTTGCTTTCTGTTGGCTCAAAATGGCACTTGAGTATCCTTCGATCTGCATGAGAGTTAAATTTCACCACCTTTCCTTTTACCCCCTTTTGCACTAAAAATATCTTCACTATCTATAATTGTTTCCATCAATAGTTGAGGGTGCAATCTTACTCCTACACAGAGCAGCAGGGGATGGGCTGTCTTCTGCATTTTCTTAGTTAAGTTTCCCAAGAAACAACAACTTACTGCAATCTTACTGTCTGCATGGTCACCCATCTGCCAGTCCCTCTAAATAAAGGCTGACAGAAGGCCAAGAGGAGGTCTCAAAGTCCTTTAAATTCCTACAGTTTCTGCAGCAGAATTAAATCAGAGACAGAAATACCCTACTCGAGAGCTCCCATGGAGGGAAAGGTCTGTAGAAGTCAACTTTTGCTTTCTGAGAAGCTCAGCCAAAAGGTGTAAATCCCTAAGAAGTCATTTGCTAATTGATTTTTAATTTTTTTATCATCTACTGTGGTGAAAAAAAGATGCAGGCAGGGTGTACCTGAGCTGCAGAGCCTTGTGCTGGCCATGCTGCCAGGCAGCACAGTTCTGCCCACTGCCCAGCAGACGTCCCTTTCCCACTGGGAAGGCTGCAGGTTCCCTTCCAAGTGGCACAGCCTATACCAGGTCTAGGCCACGGGCTCACAAGAACAAAAGTCCTCAGTGTTTTTCCCACCCTGACTCCCACTTGTGCATTCCTACTGCTTTTCCTTTTGCTGGTGACAGTGCTCATTAGCCATCCCCCTGAATGCAGAACGGTGAAATAGCAGAAATAATTCACTTTAATTTCGCCTTTTTTTTGGCAGAGTAATCTTTCTACTGGTTGAGCTCCCTGGAGCAGCTCTCCAAGAGGAGTGGGACTGGGACAGGCAGCTCTGCCTTTCAGAAGCAGCGAGCATTGACAGCAACTGAGCTACCCAACAAGTGAGACCAAAGGAATGTGTGATTAGATAACAATGAGATAAGCTCAAGTATAATATTTGCCAACATAATTTCATTTCTGAAACAAAAACATTTGGTTCAGGAACTTGGATTGCACCTTTACATAGAGTATTCTTAAATCTTCAAACTTGACAGACCATTAAGCACAGGTGTAAGAATAACTTCATTAACACAGAGCCAGCTGGCTGAAATACGGCACAGAAGGTAAACCCAAGAAAATCCTACAGATAATAGTAACACCCTGGCATCCGTTCCCCACCCTCCAGTCAGGAGGGTTGTTATTTATTTCCCTCAGCCTGCAGCTGGATCAGACTCTTTTCATCCCAGTGAGCTGTGCAAATTATTTCAACAGGTGTTGGGGAGCAGTTTGTTTTGAGGTTTTTTCCTTGTTTCTTTTTTGATAAGTATGACCCAGCAGTGATATTTCAATTAGCTCCTCATCAAGCCAAATCTCTCCAGACGACATTAGTAAACATTGGATACAGCAAATCAAATTCAAGGGTCAGCATTTCCTACGTGATTTAGCTTTTACCTGTTGTTGATCTGTTCCTTTTTTGCTGTGATTCTGGATATAATCAACCAAGCCATGAACCACAGTTCTCACAGCAACTAGTCCATTTTCCAGTTGTTCCCATGTTGGAGGTGGAGCATCTGATGCATGGACAGCAAACAGAGAACAGAAAAAGAAAAGTCAGAGGGATTTTCTAAAGCCAGGTAAAAAAAGAAAACAAAAACCCAACAAACCATCAGGATCACAAAACTTCACTAGACAAGTGTTTATCAGTACATAAAAAGTATTCAGCAACTTAATTCCGGGGTATTTACCTCTTGTAGAATAAAGGGACCTACAGACTCAAGACTGAACTGCACAAAACACCAAATGAGCCAGTAGGACTTCTTAGCATGCCAAATTATTTCCTTTTATAAGAACTTTCATCTCACAAGAGCTCCAGAGTAAATGCACTGTACAAACTTCACATAACGAAAAACAGCAGGCTGAAAATCCCTCTTTGCATTCAGACTCCTGCAGGTAAAATCATTCCATACAAATACCTGATCACTGGCCTGATCCCACAGGCACAGTCACGGAGCAGCAACAGGAATCGATGCCTCTCACTTGGAAAAAACATCACAAGGCAAATCTGTCTCAGACCACCATCTAACATACAGCACTGTGAATAAACTGTACAGTCTCAATTCTATAGGAGCACTTGAGGTTTTTTTCAGCTAATTTACTTCTGTAATTTTTTGAATCTGTGCCAACAGCTGACCCTCCCACCCCACGCCTGCACACTCTGCTGCAAAGCACAGGACCTCAAAGTGCCCTTCAAGATCTTTAGCACAATTAATTACATTAGATTCCACTCACAAGGCCTAAATTCTTCCAGAGGTACTTCCAACGTGCCCACAGAATAGCAGGGAAGCAACTCAACAGCACAGAAAAGAACCATCAAGACCAGACTTGCCTGCTGAAACCAAGTGAGGCTCTCAGTGATGCTACTTCCCTTAGCAGTTTTTGGCTAACAAATCTGCAGCGCACACACAGTTTTGTCCCTCGCTTGTTTCAGCATGAAAGATTTGGGAAGAAAGCACTACATTTCCTTTAGCTGTGAAGTACACCTGGTCCTCATTTGAAAGGGAAGTTTATTTGTTTAAAATACAGAAACTAAGAACTACAACTTCTCATCTCCTGAAGTGATACTTTAGGCCTTCACACTATTTTGACGCATAATGATTTTACACATGTTAACAGGTATGAAATAAAACTTCAGCCACAGCACTCTGTTCTGTCCCTTCTCTTCTCCCTCAACCGGTCCACCCTCACAGCACCGCTGATTTTTAATCAACAATACTCATCTTTCTCTTCTCTGTCAACAGCTTATATTCACCTTTTCAGCTATCTTCACCTTCCCAGACTGTCTTTCCCACCTTTGCAGAATTATACATTAACAAGAAAAACACTAAATTCCTGAAGGTAACAAATCTTTCTTGTCTAGACTAATTTTTGTCCAGCTTCTGTCTACTCAATCTATCAAAATTCTACTGTGGAATCCAAAATTCTTTATACAGAAGATGTCTTATGATTTTAAGCTGCCTCTAAGAGAATTCTGAGTGCAATGTCTGCAGGCTGGAGATCTCAGATCAAAAACTAATACAAAGAACTTCCTGAGTAAAGAAAAAGACATACAATTTTCAATAAGTTAATGGAAGTCCTTAATTTGATGAGTTGAAGACTTCCCCAAGTTGGTTAACAAATTATTTGCTGCACTAGAGAACCGGAGAGAAAAAGGTATCTCAGTGACAGCTCAGGCTCTGCTTTAAACACAGTGGCTCTGTCAATCTTCCTGCTGTTTTGCAATGTGCTTAAAACAGCAGCATGTGGACTAAAACAGGGAAAAGAGGGAACCTCAGAGTGCTGCCACTCCCCACATTAGCACTGCCCAAGTACACCCTATGTCACCTCACAGGATTATGCGCTGAACACTCATGAGAGCTCATCCAGTGCCATCAAACAAGGGAGCTCACCTCAGAGAGGTGGTGAAATGGTTCCTGCCATACTTTGGAAGCTATTTTAGCTTTGGAATAGTTCAGTTCCTCACACAGATTACTGCTGTTCAGGCTGGCTTTGAATACCACCCAAGAATCTTAAGTTGATGAATCACAGGATGCTTCCTTATACTTGATGATCAGCTTTCAATCTTTCCACTGTGTTAAGCTCCTCCCGGCTAAATCCTAAGTTACAGGTTTTCCAGACTTACCTGGACTGGGATCAATATTTGCCAGGAGCTCTAGGTGAGGTCGCAGACGATTCAGGTTAGCTGGATCTCCAGTCCTCTGCAGAGCAATAGTTAATTCCTGAACACTCTGTGCAAATGAGGCTGGGGTCTGCAACTTAAAAAAATTATCATAATTAACTTTCTACAGGCAAAGCAATCCTCATGGTTTCTGAAGGCTGCTCCACAAGCTCACAAGAGCTGTCTCCCAAATCTGAAGGAAAACCTTTTTATGCACCAGCCCATGTCAGCGAGCCTTTTCTACCAAGAATGCACAATTCTCTGACATTGTAGGTTAAAATACAGCTCTAAACAGACAAAACAGATGCTAGTATTATTTCTAGCAGTAAAACCCATTTCTTCTGTGTTGTGCTGGCACCCAGATTAAAAATGGACAATATTAGAAACCATTCAATTTAGATTTCTGAAGAGTCTAATATCTTCAACGCCCCCCAGCAGGTTTGCACCTTGCTTTAAATCGAGTACAGCAGACAACAAAGAGCAAGATGGTTCAAGGAAAAAATAGCAACGTTCCATTTACTAACATTACACAACTCCATTATTCAAAACCCTTGAATTCTACCTAGGTCCTTCAGGAGATGTCTAGCAGAACATTTGAAAAAAGTGGGCAAAGGCATAAATACACCGCAGGTAGATCTTGAAGCTAATTCTCCTGCACAGCAGCCAATGCAGTTGTTTCACAGCTTTCCTAACCATTCAACAAGATTCAGTTTTTCCCACCCAATTTAGGCACTTACAGTGTGAGTCCCCTAATTTAAAAGTCCATGTTGCTTCTAAACACAAAGAGATCTGGGCATTTCTAGAGGTCAAATATTTTATTTAAAAATATGCTTCTACCTCTGTGCCTTACTTCAGCTATAGGCTGGGGGACTGATTTGTTTCCTGCCCAGAAACACAGACCATTAACCTCTGTCACTACACTGCTAGTTGTCAGCTGTTCACAAAGGTCACATCCCAATTGTGTAGCTGAACTTTGTGGTTTCCCACCTGCAGAAAGAAGTAAAGTAGCAAGAGACAGCAGGATGGCAGAGGGAGCAAGACTCATCAGGTTATAAATACATATTCTAATTATTTAGGGCATAACAGGCTTTGAAATAACAGGGCAAATCATTACAGGGCGAGTACACATGGGCATAGTTTGTAAATACAAGCCCCGAAATCTACCACAGCTGCATCCAAGGAGGGCTGGGCTGCTTTGAGGTGGCTTTACCTTGTCGATGATGCTCTGCATGTGGGATTTGTGAGACTGGTCTCCGTAGAGCAGCGAGGACCACTGGTCTGGGGCGATGCGTAAACCCGCCTCCATGGCTATCTGAACTATCTGGGAGTCGTGTTCCCTCCGCAGAGCTTCGTAGGTCCGAAATTCCTCCTTCAGCTGCATCAGGGAGGAATCCTCGTCTCGCTTTGTCACCTAGTGGGGAAAAATGAGTCAAAGGCAATTAGGCAAGATAAGCCAGAGATTTTGTGAAGCCCAAGACAAGTGACATCTTCAGTCAGCAACTAAGTCCTTCCTCCCAAACTAAACTCAAGTATGACAATATGCAGTGAACATCAGTTTTTGCTAAAATAATACACTCTATGAAGAGACGAGCCACTATAAAATGGATAAAAACCATCATTTACTCAGACTCTGACCTGGTGAAAGTGTCACACTTCCTAACTGACTTTACAGCATTCACACCTTACTTCTCCAATCAAGGAGATCTGCATTTCAGAATTTTGTTTGAGGGTATAATTAGCACAACCAAAGCATTTTGCTACTCATTTAGCAAAAGTGAATGACATTTAGGTTGAACACCTAACTAAAGGATCATTAAATACTACAGAGTGCACTAGACATCTTAAGTTCTCTTCATACAACTCATGTCCAACAGGCTCCCATTTCTTTGTTTGTGACCACATCACCAGTGAATTAACAGAACTAGGGATCTTCCAGCTTTAAGCCACTTCTAAGGAGATAAGAATGTTGGCTTACATCCAGGTTTTGTAACTGTGCATCTATTAGACTGGACAGAGTCAAATCCTAGCTTTAGAGCTCCAACCTGCAGTTTCAGCCTATGCTGCCATCACAGCTGTACAAAGAACTCTCCAAACACACATGGGATTTAATGAGCAATACTTTCTATAACTACACATTTTTTTTAGGCACATTTAATGTTACAGGAAAAGGAAACTCGAAAGTGCAAACAAACAGTTTTCATAGCTTTATGAAATCTCCAGGCAGAATCTTCTTCATACCTTGAAGCATGAGGCCCTGTACAGGAGCTGGACAACGTGCCCAATGCTAGTTTTGGAAGCCTGAGGGAATCGGGGCTCCAGCCTCTGCACCACAAAGAGAACCAAGACCTTTCGTGACAGAGCAGATCCATCTTCCAGAGCCAGCAGGACCAGCTTTAAAGCCTCCTCTTGCATTGCTGAGGGTGGGGGGAAACATGAAGAAAAGAGACAAAGGATGAGAGAAGCACAAGAACAATTTGTGCACAATTTCTTGGTTCCCTACAAGTGGGAGACCAGCTACAAACTCCCCCAACACACACACAAACCCACATGAAATTATGAAATTATTATTTCATCTATTTTGGGTACCATCTGATAGGAAGACTTTTTTGTTCCTGTCTGTACACCTCTTCATTATTAATGTAAGAGTTTTCCAAGCATATTATCTATGTCCCACACCTACTCCAGCAGAAAATGCTGACAGGCTGAGGAAGGGCAAGGTTCATTCCCATGAAGGTAAAAGAGCAATGAGTGCTCACGCAAATAACTCAGGTGCTGCAGCACCTCTATTTTGCTTGGTAACAAGCCTCTCTCTTGCCTGGAGTGGTACAAAAGTGAGCATCTCAAAGTCAGCCCTTCTTAATCTATTTCAGTGGGGGAAAAGTGTTATTTTTAGTGTATTTTTAGTTTAAGAAGTTGGTTGCATATTTCAAGACTCAAAAAGTGAAGCCTATATTTTCCATAATGAGACTTTTTTTTTAAGCAAAATTGATTTTTTTCTGGTATTCTAAGCAAAGGAATGTAATTTCTGAGTACATAACTTTTTAAAAATGCGTACACATAACTGTAATAAATCTATCCCCCCAACTGGTATGTATGTTTATTACCCCGAAGAAGGCAAAGAAGCCAAGGCCAGCCTCTTCTAGTAAACTTATTTTTTCTAGGAGGTTCTTACTTCTTCAAGGAATAGCAAGAGAAACTACTTCTCATTTATCTTATGACAAGAAAAGGACACACGTTATTCTGAATTTCACAGAAGACTTGCAAAAGCACTAAAAATGCAAGGAAGTCCATGACAGCATCCCAACAGCCCAACCTACTATTAAGAAATTAAGCTGCTGCCTAATAAAACCACTCGGGCAATTTGATTTACCGATGGCTCAGTGCTAAACGGCTTCCAGCACAGCAGTGGCACTGCCATGTCACCCACCTGGCCCCAGGAACTGGCAGCCTCTGGCTCTCACTGCAGCCCAGAGGTTGGAAGAGAGCTGCTGAGGGTTCTGGTGCTGGAGAATGAGCTCTGTGACTGTTCTCTCGCCCAGTGACCGCGCCGCTCGCATGGCTCTGATCCGCCCTTCCTCCTCCACCAGCTGGCAGTGGACTAATGTCACAAGTTTCCTCTGCATGGGACGACTCAGAACACTCTGAGTAGTACTGTTGAGACCCACACCTTCAAAACAAAATGAAACAGAGTAATAAACTATCTCATATTTCCTCTTTTTGTGCCAGCCTTCAGTGACTGTACAGTGCAAACCTGATGTCCACTTTGTCAAACAGAGCACTGCACAAGGCATATCGGATGTTCATTTTTGCCACCTTGTCTTATTTGGCATTAAAAGCAGTCTCCTGGGAGTCAGCTTCCCCACAGGTTTAAGTCTTGTGATTGGCTGATTTGGCTCTCTAAGAAGGTGGAGCCTCTAATGAATCCTCTCATCCTGAGGGTAGTTTGTCCCACACTCTCAGTTCATCCCTTATTCATGAACTTCAGGGATCACTGGGATGTTGGCTTGTTTTCACAAGACATTTAGTTTCCTGCCTACATCTGATATCTCCACTGCTTTGGCCCAGCCAAACTGAGCTTACACATGAGTCCTGAACTCCCTGGGGTGCAAAAACTCTGATTCACAAAGTGCTGGGAGCCACTTAATCCGGGATAAAGAAACGAGTGACTCACTAGGCAAATGGCTGCCATGCTGAGTTTGTTGCACAGCCAGGGCTTGTTCACTGGGCCACTACTACCCAGAGTCATGCTGCTGTCACACTGTTCTGGGCAGAAAGGACTGAGACAACTCCCTGTAAAAATTAATTTCTGAAAACCTGATGCCCAGGATGCTCAACTCCACTCCTTGGGCTGACAGATTGTCTGAGTCCAGCACATGTGGCGCAGATAAAATCCATACTATTGAACACAGTGCAGGTTTGCTAAGCTAGAATTACTCAGACGGATACAGCTCCAGTGTAAGATCTTGTTATCACAAAGTAAAACTGAAAAAAGTCTATTTTTACTTAGTCTGCAGAGGTCAAAGCAATTTACAGAGTTTGTCTCAGCTCACTATATCATGGCCAAATAGCTCAGTCTTTTCTCAGAATTACTTTTGACACCTTCCACAATTCCACACCCACACCCCCACCATGAAAACATAATGTTTAGGAAATCTTCTTCAATTTGTTTCTAAACTAGGTTTATATTCATTTTTCAAACAGACTAACTAATCATTTGGATAGTTTATTTTGCATCTTATTTGTTTCCCACTCTCACTGTCCAAGGTAGCAATGCAGGAACTACCTCTGGCACTGCTGAGTGGTTTGAGGTACAATGCCAATTCTTCCACACATTTCTTGCCCTCCTCATAATGCTTGGTGTCTTCAGCTCCACTGCATAAAGTAATTGGCTGCTGCTCAGGAACCTGGAGAGGGATGACATGTACATTTACATGAATATGCATAAACAAGTGACAGTCATGCTTACAAACACTTGTTACTATGAAGCATTTCCTGTTTTATTCCCCTTCTGTGTTTTTCCTATATTAATAGCCATTTTTTCAGCTTGTTTACCGAACAAACAGCATAAGAAACCTCAGTGAAATGAAAACAAAAAGACAGAGAATTTATGTTTAGTAGATTTCCTTTATTTAGTGGCTGACAGGAACTAGAAGCAGGAGGCTTAACATGGCACTTCCTATAACTACAAAACTTTGGCTAAAATAACGCACATTGAAACATCCCCAAAGCTGTCTGGCCAAAAAAAATCAGGGGGGGTGGAAAATAAAAAAAAAAAATCAGAAGAACCCTGGTCTGCAGGTAAGTACTGATTTGTATCTACAGCCTCACAGCTCTAAAATCATCCAGGGATAAATTACAGCTACTTAGATTAGCAGGAGAAGATTTAGCAGCAAATACACTATGACGCCCTTGAAACATATTCTGACTAGATCAAATTAACAAGCAGCAAGACCAAGTTATCCTACACAGTGCATATGAACACACCCCTGACATTCGTAGTTTTGGTTGTTTGGGTTTTTTTTCCCCGGTGAAATGTCTTCATCCAGACATTCATCAGAAATCAGGTCTTTTCAAAGGGATTTGGACCACTCCTTCCCCAAGTTATGATTTTGGTTTTGCCTTCCTCGAGGTTAATTCTTAAAAGCTTTAAGCAAATTTCAGGCTGCAGAATAGCACTGCACTAACATTCTCAACATCACTATTCAGCAGTCAACCCAACATAACAGCACAGAGAACTGGAATTTCTCAGAAGACTAAACACAAGCATGTTTTGCATATGCTGTCAAAGCACAAACAGATCTCAGAGTTCTATTTCCAAGTCAATCCCTATCCCAGTGGCAATAACAGCCTGCTAATCCCACATAGCTGCTTATGGGGACCAACCCAGGCCCTCAATCTACAAGCACAAGCCTTTAATGCCTCAGTTAAATACAGCTACAAACCCACCCACCTTCACGTGCAACCCAGCCCTGGGAAAAGCAGTGTTATGGCAGCACTGAATAAAAGCAGGGAATATATATAAAGTGTGTGTATATATATATATATATATTTATATATACACACATACATATATTTTCATATACACAGACGTACAGATACAGTTGTCATCACCAATGGGGACAGGAGCTTTCCCATCTATTTTAATAGACAGTAACGTTTCAACCACATGATCACCCTTCTCCTTACACAACAATCTCTGCTGAGTTGCTCATTTGACACACAGAGCAAAATAAAAAGTTACTATCTACCCGACTCTTGCTTTTACAGTAGGCAACAAAAATAATCTCAGAGTGCAAAATATCAGCTGCAATTAAGACAGTTGATACCATCCCAAGACTAACATAATCAAGATAGTCTCAATCAGGCACAGCCTCTTTCACTCCCATTAAAGGGAAAACCAAAGCCAAGACAGCAAGGTTGGCCTTTTCACTGACTGCAGTTAACTTGTCATGTTCTGGGCTTTTTGGTTTTAATTTTGGGACAGGGTTTGTTTGAGGTGTTTTGGTTTCAGGATTTGAGGGGTTTTATGAGTCCGTGAGCAAGAAAGTTTTCAGCAAAAGGAGATTTCACAAATGGATCTTACAGTGGTCAGACCTAACTGTCACAACAGACTGGTTTCTTGGGATCTGAGAAACAAATACTAACACCTTCGATATTTACTTGCATGTTGACAGAACACTGCACACCTCCCTTTCGAAGCCACTGCCATTTTAGCATAAGGCTCTGCCTAGGCCGTCACCCAGCAGAACTGGATCCGCTACCCAAAGACATCTCCCGCACGTGTGCCCAGACAGAGCCTGCCCCATCCCTGCCGTCGTTATTGTGGGCATAGATTTTGTGAAAATTCCTCCTTATTCCTGCAGCCGTTCCATCCACACCAGTTACAACTCAAACCACAACCCCCAGCAGACAAAGGGGGCTGGGGACAGACGTGGGACAGGAAGCCTGGGACAGGAAGCCTGTTCAGCCCCGGCTTCGGCCCTGAATTGAAGGGGCTTTAGCACACATTCAGAGCCGTGTTTGGAATGCCAGACACAGCAGAGCCACCAGCGAGACACAAGGGCTGTCTAGGCAACTAAAAGAGAGCTTCCCCCTCCCCCAGGGAAAAGCTGGCAGAGAAAAACGTCCAGGAGTTAATCAAGCTGTACAACACTACCTGCCTTTATTTCTCCCCACACACACTTCACCATCACTCATGCAAATGCACCTCATAATAAAATTCACAAATAATTTTCCTTTTGCTGGTTCTTTTCTATGCACTTGCAAGAGTTACTTTAATATTTTAGGGTTAGGATGATTGTAAGAACAGCACCTCCCAAGAGAAAAACTGTAAAGATGTGATTCATAAAAGTCACAGGAAATGTGAATTTTATTTTTGGCTCCAGCGTGAAATTGCTGAGGGACAACTGAGAAATAATAATTCAACTCCAAAGCATTTTCACTTCCCCTTTGCAAAATATCCTTTTAATAGCACAATTATGCATGGAGAATGACCCTATGGTCACTGCTGTTTACAACCTCTCTCAAGAGCCCCAGAATATATGCCCTGCAGAGTGAGTTCATTATTTTCAAGATCATTCCATATTCCATTCTCTCAGACACCACACCCTTATCACAGTTTTCACTGCAAATATATTCACATCATGTAACCGACACCTCCCAGGGGGGACGAGAGCGAGACAGGAAAAATGATCTCAGATGTTTAATTGCTTGAGATTTGTGAGGGTTTTGCATCTGCCTTGGCAATGCCTGTGAGGATCCCAGCAGTGGAATGCTGCCCATCAGCTTGGCTTGTGGCTGTGGGAAGAGGGGAAGAGGCAGCTTATGACGGCATGAGGAAGGGGACCGGAAAAGAATGCTAAAGCATTGCCTCATAGCAGGCAGTGATTTGGAATTGGTGATTTAACTGTAATTTGATGAAGGATGTCAGCTTGAGTTGTCACTAATTACCATTAGACATCTAATTGCACAGAACATGTTAAACAGACTAAATCCCTTTTTGTCTGGTTTGAAAACTCTTTCTCCCTCCTCCCTATGAATGGAGGATTTGCTTCCTGCCCCCCCAAAAAACCCAAACAAAAACCCAAACAAAAGCCTAGTGTCTTCAGTTCCTCAAGGGATTACATTAGGGACAACTTCTTCACAGATAATTCCTCTTCTGTGGCACTTCATTTCACCAGAAGTTACAATAAAAAATGATCAAACAAGCCTCTAATAGTTCTGCAATTGCAATCTTCCCCTTTTGAAAGGGCTGTGAGTTAAGATCACTCCACCCATTCTCTCATCATGTACATGATTCCATTGCCCAATGTATCTGTCGTGTCCAACAGGAGACTATGGAAGACATTAAAGCACCACAGGCATTTCTGCCACCCTATGTCACCTGTTTGGAATGTGTACGCTGCTGCTTCATGGGTTAATAAAGCACGAGGGAAGAGCTTAGATGACAGATCCATGATTATGCACCTTCAAAACACGGGTCAGGTGAATGCTTAAAATAGTTGCACATAGTGAGTAACATGTGGATGCTGGAATAGCTAAAATTCCCACAGAAACAGGCTTAAGGGATTTCTTCACTCAAGAAGTGTAAGAAGCAAGGTATCCCAGGAGTGCCTTACTGGTTTGTGCCCAAGCCATTGTGCCTCCCTTCCCTCACAATATGCTTAGCTCTGCTTAGGGTTCAGCTATTTCCAGCCCTCCCTGGAATAATAATTCTCATCTTCCCCTTATAATCCCTTCTGCTCCCTCATCTGCTGAACTCATCTAATCTGGTGGGCTGAATTACCCAACCAGAGGGGCTGTGGAATCTCCCATTCCTCTACTGTCCAAGGCCAGGCTGGATGGGACTTGGAGCAACCTGCTCTAATGGAAGGTGTCCCTGCCCACGGCAGGGGGTGGAATGAGATGAGCTTCCAGGTCCCTCCCAACCCAAATCAATCGATGACTCCATGACCACTGCCTCCCAGCCCCTGTAAGCACTGTTGACCTGTAACACGCTATAGGGGAGCAGGCAGAAACTTGAGTCCCTCTAACAGTTAATTTTCACATCAAGGGTGGCTATAACCTGGGCAACAGGTTTCATTTCTGGAAAGGGGTGGGGAGAGGGAAAACTGAGAAAGAGTCTGTAATTCAAGTAAGAAAACTCTTCTTACCATTAAAGTGGCAAACCAACCCAGAGAGAGAATGCTATTGTCAGAGAAATAGGTTACTGCTTCCCCAGGCAACTGTGTGACAAGTTTAGTACGTTTTCCCTCTGAAGTACAGCCCTGCTTATTTCACCCACTGTGCCAAAGTGACTTGCCCTGGAATCCCATAACTGCTGCCAGTCACAGCAGAATAGATTTGTTTCTTTAAACAGCCTGGTCTCCTCCTCTGCCTCCAGCAAAAAAGCACTTAACACATATAAAAGTGTGAACTTCTCAGAAGTCTCCCCAAAGGGAAAAGAACAAACTGTTCTTCCCCCTCACAGATAAAAGCTTTAATTGTGCTGTACTGAATTTCCTTCTAAAATGAAACCTGTTTTTTTTGAATTTATAGTTTAAAAAGAAGGTATTACAAGTCTCCATGGACTCAGCTTAAGGTGTTCAGGTGTTTGTTGGAGATTAAGGGACACTAATGACACACAGACCCTCCTGAAACTAAACCATGAAGCGGAACAAGAAAAATGGGTTTGGTTTCAACTGAAGTCGATACCACTCATGCTTTGAAAGCTGGATTGCTGCTCACAGACCATTTATGTTGATATGTACCAGAGAACCCATGTTCTCAAACAGGACACAGTTCAAAATCACTAGTTTCTCTAAAGTACCTTTTAATTTTTTTTTTAATTTGTCCTTAATCAAGCCCTTTTCTCTAAGAAGATTTTAAAAATGGCCTTAGAGAGGCTAGTGGGAAATAGTAACTGTTTCCCTGTCCTCCCCAGTGAAATAGTGTACTTATTTTCTAGTACTCCATAGTCTGGTAGGAAGGGGCAGGGAAGAGAAAGGAGGGTGAGTTGTACTGAACACTGATTTCATTCACATGTTGAAATTAGGAGCTGGCTGGGAAGGTGGTGCAAACTTCTCTTAAGGGGAAAGTTTCTCAGTAATAAACATCCAGCTAAGATCCATGATTATCGTTTAGGTACCAGAATTGCTGGGAGCAGCAAACATGCAGCAGTGAGTGACAAATGAGGGGTGTGGGAATACTGTCTCTTTTGGTGGCATTTGCAGCTTGAAGGTCATCAGGGAACAAGGTCCTGCGAATCTTGATCACATGAAATTCTAAGATGTAAAAAGGAGCACGAAATGCTGTCATTAGTTCAAAGCCAGGACCCAGAGTCTCAAGACAAACAACACTATAAAGCCTCTCTTCCTTCTTCATACCTCACACATATGGATGAGAAACTCTGGCTGGCTAACTGGCAAAACCAGAATAAAATTCTCAGTTACCCATACAGAGGCAGGGTGGTTTTTCATTTCATTCCAGAGGATCTTGGTTTTATGGAAATTATAATTCAGGTAAAGATCAAGTTTATCACATAGCTTCTCACAAAGCTTAACAAATGCACACAAACCAACCGAAAAAATGCAAGACATTTATCACAAGTGTGGACATTTGGGTACAGCTGGAACTATTCTAGAAACTCCAAAGAGGAAGGAAGGAGATATAAGGGAGAAAGAGAATTACAATATTTACTTATGGCATCACCCACAGATCTCAGTGCTTGGAAGCTCTTCAAAGATGGTGGCATATCACAGAAATGGGAGTGCACAGTCTCACTGCCTTCTCCTGCAGAGCAGGATGAGTCACTTAGCACAGCCAGAAACAACACTGCATTTTAAACTTGTAGAATAACTTCTATGCCACACACCACAGAAAAATAACACCAAATTAGCCATATTACTTGATGAACTTAGAAGTGGCAAAAGCATGGTTGGATCTCTAGGTCCCAGTACCTAACAAAAAGCAACATAAGAGTATCTTTCTCTCCTCCACATCTTTTACAGTTCCTCCACAAAATTCTTTCCTTTTCCCTGAACTATGGACCTCATTGAATTTCCTGCTGATCTCAACTCTGCTGAACCCAGACATGGAAGCACAACAAACCAAAACAACCACCCCTGTATGGTAACTGTCCCCATTTACATTTTCACTCCTCACCCCTAAGTTAGACATGATTGCCCCTCCTCTTCCAGGTCCACAATCCTGCCCAGCTTTGGGAGGTGCGGGTCACAGGAAGCTACTAGTGATCTAAGCATGATAAGCTTATGCCAATTTAGGTCTGAGCTGAACAGGGTGATCCTGCTTTCCACACACCCCTGCCCCTCTCCTGAGGCAGTCACCAGCACCAGGGACACTCGTCCCCATCAGATCACCCCTTCAACTGACCTCACCGGTACCTGTTCCAGCAAAAAGGGGAGGCTTGGGCAGGCTGCCCCTATGGATTTAGAGCGACATGTCAGCTCAGGAAGTTGCATTTCCAGTGCACAGTTTCAAATTAAACATAAGGCCGTATAAAGGCTGCTACCAGAGGGGTCTGTCCCACTTCCCTTACACTTCTGACCTGCTTTTGGGACAGCTGGCCACAGGTCTTGTAGGGTGAGTACAGTAAAGCACATAACCTACAACAGAAGAACGGCTTCCCACTAAATAAACTCACTGATCCAGCTCATCCTTTCAGCAGAGCATGACTAAGAGTCAAGGAAGAAGGAAGGGAACAGAACAAACCCATTCTGGCGACAGCCCACGGTTACACTGAATCAGATGTAACAAAAATCACAGTCAGCAACCAGTAGAATCAAGATCTAAACTATTGCTCCAGGTACCTCTGCAACTTTTTGTAGACATTTACAATAAAGGCAGATGAGTACTCCACACACCATTAACATCAGTCACAACTTGTCCTCCTAAAAGAAAGAAGGAAAATAACACAACCCCAGATTTTGAAGAAAAGCAAAGACACTGTTACCTGAGCACCCACTAGCTGCAGCAGGGCCGAGTTCACAGGGAGGAGTTCAATGTCTGTGTTGATAGTGGTCTGGTCGAAGGGACATGCCTTACGGTGGAGCTTGTTGAGGCACATCTTGCAGACGGTGTGGCCACAACCCAAGCTGATGGGCTTCCGGATGGTTTCGTCGAACGTCTGTGTGCAAATTGGGCAGGAGAGAAAATCCGTCCATTGTGGAGCTTGTACAGGCATTGCTTCAGGAGTTAATCGACAAGACAAAAATCTAAAGCACAGATTCCACTGGAATCAAAATCTTGGGAAAAAAAAGTCTGTTCGTTTTTAAATATCTTCTGTAAGTACAGACAGTCAGCACATAGTGTGAAACATAACCTAGAAGGAAGCAGAAACACACAGTGAGCATTCTGTACTGGAACAGGCACGGGAGACCCTTTGTGCTCAGTAAATAGCACTTGTCGAGGTACAGCTGAACTGGGAATGTGAGGTAGGGAGTGCAGTTCTGACACTAAATACAGGACTGAGTCATGACCTGCTTTAATTCCAGCTAGTCTCTGGCACTGGAAAAGTCACTTTAAACCATTTCTGCTGTTATACAGCTTAAAAAAAACAGGCAACAGATAACTATCTCATTAAAGTTATAAGGCTAATTAGCTTTACAGTTTTATGTTCTCTTTTTTTCTTCATAAACGAGCCAATTAACATCAATAAGATTTGAATAAAAAAGATCCTTTTTGAAGGGCTGGTGTGCTTATTCCACCAAACCAATTTTTTTCATGGTATTCATTATGAGCTTTAAATAATTTTGCTTAGACAAAGCTTTTATCACAAGCAAGCTTTCTTCAGAGTCCAGTGGGCTCCGGATTGGCACACAATGACTCTGGAAAGGTGGGAGCTGTCCCAGCCTTCAGAGGGAAGAACATTTCTAGAATGTCTCAAGGACCCTTTTCTGACCCCAATGTACATTATTCCCTGCCTATCTAGAGATTATATTGACAAAGAAAGAACATCTTTAATGTATTGAGAAATCACACAAACTACAATAGAGGAAAACCTAGGAGGTCTTTATCACTTGGCACTTTCAAATCAAAATGTTAAGAGGATCAAGTGTTACTAATTATGAGGCAATGGAAGAAAAGACATCCTTTTGGGACAAAAAAAAAAAAAAAAGCAGAACTCACGTGAGGAGAAATATAAAAGAACAGATGGATGAAAACAATCATTATCAGAAAGAAAACTGGTAATAAAATAATTTCTGATGTCTGGCTTACTTTCTATCACAAGTGGAGTTGGAAAACAAAAAAAAGAGAGGGCAGGTCAATGATTTACAACCAATTTTTCTATATCTAGCAGCTCAACACCAACAAAAACCCCAGCCCAACCACCCAGATGTGGTAGTTTCTCTTTCCCACATGCCGCTGGCTTCAGTTTCAAACCCATGAGTGTGCACTTGCTTGTTAGTATCTGTTCTGATAGAAAGTTCTCACATAAGCAAAACAGCAACCTGTCATCAAATCTCAGCTTAAAAAACAACCTCACAATTTAAATTAAAATCTCAATTCTAAAGGCAAAGAGAGAAACTTCAAATTAAGAGTTGTGCAATTCAAAATCAAAGCATTTTAAAATAGCACAAAAAAAAAAATAATGCTAAAACAGAGACTGAAAAGCCTCAGGCATTTTTTCAAGAATTTAGTGCAATGTTGTTCACCGTTAACATCATTTTGCCAAGGCAAACAATGAAGAGTTACTAGTTAAGCTTTTAGCCACGTTTCATCAAACATTAAAGCTTAGTTTTAAAGCTAATGAAAAGGAGTTGGACTTGGATGATCCGTGTGTGTCCCTTCCAGCTCAGGGTACTTCATGATTCTATGAAAAAAAATCACTTGTCTCTTCAAAAGACAACGTACAACCCCACCAGCCCTGGCGCCCAGCCCAAAAGGGATCAATAAGAAATCAATATTATCCAGGCAGAGGAAGAGGTACTGCATGTGGTTAACCCTACCACCACCACTGCACAACCAGAAGATGTCAAGGTTGTTCAGGGTTCCCCCTCCAAATCACCTCTTTAATAGCAAAGCACTCATTTTTTTCATCTTGTCAGCAGACAGGCAGATCATTTCCATCACTTGTAACACCATAATCCAAGTGAAATCTTTCATACTTTTAAATTACTTCACTAAACTAACTTACTAAAACATCCAGGAAATTTATTTCCAAGTTTTCCCTTGCTTCCTTATATTTTAAGTAAACTTTGGTATCAAGTATTCCAGCCAGAATTACTCTTTGTAAACCAAATTTGCAAAAGAAATTAGCTGGAAACTCCACAGAAGTCCTTCTGCAGAGAGCAGAACACAGTTTGATACATCTAGTGTTATGAAATACCATCGGACGTTCAAAATCTGAGAGTTGAATTCACATTGTTTCCTTTAGGTCGCACTGCTATTAAAATATCTACCAACAATTTCCCAGACTCATCTGCAATTCAGAAACAAACTGAACAGCCTATGTGAAACACAGATTATTAACCAAGAATTAAGAACAGTTTCTTACTAACTGAGGAGATTTAAAACCAGCAGCTAATATGAAGCTGTACCATCAAGAATAAAAGGTGGACGTGGACATGGAGACTCCACCATCCCAGGCTCTGAACTGGAACAAAGGAGTTAAACGCAACCTTAATATGAGTTAACTAATTTAAAAACCCCAGTAAACAGAGACATGCTATTCCTACCTGCAGCTCTGGCATAATGAAATAGGTCATATTTATTTACAAAATCAAGTTGAAAGAGAAGTTTGGGGAGTCTAGGGAGGGAGGGAGTAATTAGTGGCATCCATGATCCCACGTCAAGGCAGGTCTCAAAAGGCTGGGGGAAACAAGGGAAGCAAAGCTTATACATAATCAGAACTCTCAGAGACTCCACAGTGCCTGTGGATGTGTCTGGGTGCCTCCATGGCAAAGGAAGGCCACAGACAGCACTGAGAACAGAATATAGGGCTGGGAGAAGCCTCAGGAAGTCATCTACTCCAGCGCAGCCTGGCTGCTGGAACAGATGGCTAACTGGCAGGATACAGCCAACCTCTTCCCCACAGGAGAAAAGAATAGCTGTTGGAGCAACAAACCCTGCACTGCTAATAAATCAGATCAGCACAGAACTGTGGAATTCCTCCGGTCCCACAGAAGACAGGAATGGCATCACAGGGACTGAGGATTGACGAGTCGCAGACAATACAGCCTGGCACCAAAACAAGTCCTGCTGCCGCCGCCACAGCTTTCCACATATATGGTCCCATTTTCCTGCTGGATCCTCAACCTTCACACAAGGAAGCAGAGCCAAGTGCTGAGATACAACATAAAATTCTCTCAGGCACAAAGCATCCAGATGGGGTAGACATGTTCAGAAGCGAAGCTGGCAAAGGTGTGTGCCTTGCCACAAGGTTTAGGACTTGCTATGACCTTGGAAATAACTGGGGAAAAAATAGTCTCTAACTTCAAAGAGCTTCTTTAAACAGAAGACATTAGAGATGGCAATCAAACAATGGAAACAAGGCAGTATTATTACCAGTCAGCTATTAGAGCATCACCACAGAAGGAGAACACTTCCCTGTACAGATAAGGTAGGAAAAGCATATTCACTTTCATGGTGCAGTTTGTTTGTTTTTATAAGTGTTTCTTTCCAGCATTATGCCAGAGGTGAGAAAAATGCAAAGAATGTAAACATTTATAAAAGACATAACCATTTAAATAAGCCCCACTTCCATAATATTACGTTTTTAACCCAACTCAACTCACTATTTCACACCTGATACCTTCTAATGCCTTAAACATGTATCTACATACACTTCGTTCGTGATTGAAGAAAATAAAGATATGTCGAAACTCAAGAAAACAAAAAACTAAAAAGGCACATCACAGTACATAAACTGGAAGATAAAAAGGTGTAATTAAGCATGAAGATACTCCAAGACACAAAATACCACACTAAACTAGAGATAGATTGATTTTATTATTTCTGAGCATGAAAATATAAAATACCGGTATGCAAACCTTGTCCTCCAGCTTAGCCCTGCATAAGCTGTTTTATCCACAGCCAGAATCACCTGGAAAAATTCCTGCTCTTTTCTGGGTCTCCGAGCCCCCCAAAAATCCTTGAAATTCCATCCTTCAACCAAGGATGGAAATGTCACGCTGTAATCAGATCAGTGACCCGTCTCCTCTGGGACCCTGCCAGTGCTTCAGAGAAAGGCAGGATCATTCCATAAACCACCAGGACAGCTTCCCAACACTTCATCACGCTCCTTACTCTACAATGCAGAGGGGGAATGCAGCCTCCTGCCCACGCTGTGTTATGTCTGTGGCCACCAGAGCCTTCCACATGTCACCAGGGAGCTTTGCAGATTCAACTCTCGACAAAAAGTTGTTTGCAAAATGCAGAACGCTTTGTACCAACATCCACTGTCATCAAGTTTCACACAGGATGACACACAGGAAAACTCCTGTGCTCTCAGATAAAATCCCCGTCCCTCTAAGTTCCCCTGTCCCCTTGTCCGAGGGAGTCCCTCGGGGCAGGTCCCAGCATTGCCCGGGTTCGGGTTCTCTCCCAAACACAGGACTGGGGCGCAGCATGCACCAGCACAGGCCCAGCCCGTGCCGCCCTGGCAGTGCTGAATCCTCCCTGCTCTCCCCAGCAAGTCATGGCACAGTTGAAGCAGATGACTCAGCACCTCAGGGGCACCGTCGGCTCAGTTTGTGCCCTTTCAGAGGAAACAAGAGCATTACCTGCTCTTGACTTTTACTTATTCCCCAGAGCATTTCATTCAGCTTTTCTTCCCCAAGCAGTGTCATCGCCTTCTTGACCAAAAGTCTGAATAATCGTTTTAATTGTCTGCTGTTCTTTCAGTCCTGAAGCCGTTTCATTTTTGCTGAGTCTTACTCAGAACTAAACCGAGCAGAGCTTCCTGTTGCAGTTACCAGCGAACACAAGTAAAGCCTATTTAGTGCTAAGCTTAACACTACAGCAGCTCCTCACTGCCAAAAACAACTCAGGCTTGCCAACCGATCTGCTCACGCAAATACAGCTCTTGGCTAATCTATTTAATCTAATAAAGAAAACATCGTTTCATTAATTCTTTTAAAGACTCTTACTCCTTAGTAAGAACTTGCACATTTCTGAGAAGTAACCAGATGTAGTTCTCTCTCCTGTGAGACTGGTTCTGTGACACATTAACTATTTCAAAACCCCTCCGACACTTTGAGATTAAAAATAAATCAACAGCCTAAATTAAATTAACAGACAACAGTAAAACAATTCCTAACTCACAAGGATCACCAGAGACCCCCACTAGTTCTAGCCACCAGCTGAACCCCTCCATACTTG